CCCAAGACTGAGATGGGCCAAGGGTCAATGGGAGAGGCTGTCGGTATCCTTACCCGATCATGTTCAAACCAGTGTTCCAACCCTAATCGGTCTGCTTAGCAAGTCTGAATGCCCGGGGCCTGAAGTCGGAGTCTGTAGTCTGATTGATCCCGAGCAGACTTGTGCTGTGAAGGGCAGAACTTTTCTGGATAACCTTCATTTGGTACACTTGATCATCGAGCAAGTCGACAGTGACGCCGTGCTGATCAATTTAGATCAATCCAAGGCTTTCGATAGTTTTCACCAGCGATTTCTGAGGGCTGTGCTTTCGGCTGTCGGTTTCAGGCCGGACTTTCGCACTTTGATGCGACTACTGTATGTGTCCCTCGGTGCGCTGGTAGAACTGAATGGGGTAAGATAGAAACCTTTCATTTTGTCTCCCTCCATTCGTCATGGTTGTCTCCATTGCTGTACGTTCTTGCGTTGGAACCTTTCCTGCGTAAGTAGAAGACGAATCCGGTCCTCCGCGGAATTTCCTAACCTGGTGCTACCACCTGATGACGTTTCGGTTCTTGTGTCGAGAAGGGCCGAAATTAACGAAGTCAGCAAAGAAATCAAGGGATATGAGATGGTGATCAACCGCTAAAGTCTGTTGGCTTGCGGTTGGGTTCGTGGGAGGGAGTTTTTCTTCCCGGGTATTTTCTCTGGACGGACGAGTCGGTCAAGATACTCGGCGTCTGGTTCGGTCCCGACCTCCTGTTGGAAATGAATAAGTCGGAGGTACGGAAGAAGGCCGAGCTCGCAGTTCGTCTGTGGACTCGGAGGAATTTTTCTTTGAAGGGGAGGGCGGAAGTATGTGCCTTGCACATCTACCCGATCCTCCTTTATCGATTCTCCGTGCTTCCACTCCCGTCTGACACTTTATTGGCGTTTGTAAGGTTCTTGTGGGGAGGCAAGGCCGCCATGGTTAGTCGCGAAATCTGTTACCTCCATTCTGTTGGCAGTCTGGGGATGCCTTGTGTTGAGATTCGTCGACATACGCTTCGCATCACTTATCTAGACCGGATGTGTATGCAGTTGGATGAGAACGGCGAATTCTGGAAGGAAGACGCACGTAGACAATTTCCATCCTCAAGAAGTGTGCGCTCGTGCGAGGAGGAGGCCGGCCATACGCCCCGAGCCGAGGGCTCCTTCTATCGCGAATGTCGGCTTGCCCTCAGGCAACTCTTACGGGCGAAGGATGGCCTTTCCGACGTTCAGCCGTTGTCCAGTAAGGTGTTAGTTAGGGGGAACGTTCAAGACGCTTTGATGGGCGAGCTCGGTCTGACGAAGCGGGAGGCTCGCTGCATATGGCCTTGGGCGTCTGGGTTGAAATGTCTCACTAACACTGAGGCATCACTCACCTGGCTGTTAATTCGAGGGTCCGTTTGACTTCGTGCAGCGGGTTCGGCAAAGTCGCCAAACTGCGTTCGCTGCAGTGGGGAGGTGGAAACCCTAGGTCACGCCTTCTTTCAGTGTAGTGTCGTAGCTCCGTTGTGCAAGTTTGTTGAAGACATCATGGTTCGCATGCTGCACGAAAAGTTCTTTGTCCTCGAGGCCAGTTCTGTCTATAGCAATATAGTAACGCCGTTGACTAAGTGTGTTCCTTTGCTTACTGGGGGTTATGCGAGTCGTGATATGGACGACACGAACGAAAGGAAGGAATTTCATGGGGACGAGAAGTTTACCTCTTCCCAACTGATCCTTTTCTTTAATCATCAGTTTAAAGTCAAGATCAGGACAGAAAGGAAGCGACTCCATCCATTGCAATTTGGCGAAAGGTGGGTGGGTCTGGCGCGTCTCTGCAGAGTGAAAGGTGCTGATTTAGAGTGGCATTTTGATGCCGGTTAGGCTGTAAGAATATTGGGATTGCTGGGTTGAACATTGGCAACCCTTCCGTGTATAAGTGTAGGTCGTTTTTGTTTTAGTTTTTTCTCTTTTTTCAAGTAAACTTAGCTAGGGTGTGTAATGTTCTGCGCAAGAGGCTATCGATGCTTGCTAGGCATCGATTAATGCGTTGATAGGATGTTAGGATGGTTGTTGATTGTCCCTCGGGTCATGGTGGCCTCCTATTCCCTTTTGCTGCTAAACTGCTGATTAAGATTAACCGGATGTCCGGAGGGGACCTAACTCTTGTGTCTCTAGGGGTTATCTCCCTTCTGTTGCTGGGATATTACAGGGTGTGTATGCTCATTGGGCCCCTTTTTTCTGGCCCTATTTTTTTTCTTTTGTTTCTCCCATCGTTAGGTGGTTAGTGATATCAATTCTCTGGTAAGTGCGGGGCGTCTTTCGTATCAAGTGATTTTCGTATTTGTTGTTGTGTTTGGATGAGTGTGTGTTTGTTGTGAATGTATGGTTTGTACGAATGTTTTTATATTTGTTATTAGTCCCGCATTGATTTCGTCCAGTTAACTGATGTTTCTGCCACAGTTAGGACTTCATAGAGTTTCTGAGGCATTATGGTGGACGAGGTAAGAATGGTAAGTAAGAATGAGTTGTTTTGGTGAAAGGAATATTGTTTGTATGTTTGGGTCAGTGTTTGCGGCTAACTAAGTTTAATGTTAAGACAGAAGATGACCATCCTTTTCCCCCATTCCCCTTTTTCGGCTTTGTGCCATATTTGTACTATTTGTGCAATAAATATTCTCTCCTTTCTTCATTCGCCTAAGATGTGATCTTGAGGATTCTCGTCTCGACCATGGCGGTCAGACGTTAAAAGCATATCCACGCATGCAGGTACGTACGAACTTTTCCAACCTACATTACAAACATACAGAACATTTCCAAACATGCAACAAGAACTTTTTTCTCTGAAATATTCTTCTAAAACTACAGTTTATTCAGCATTTTTCAGCTTTATAATTAATTCAACTTTTGCGAGTACAGATAAAAATATTCCCAGTCTAAGATCTTTAACTTCTACGCATGTACATCAACACACAAATAAATACAATTTTATGTTTTTAAAACTATTTTGTTCCTTCTTGTATTTCATGCTTTGTAGTATTTTTTACGTTTCGTGTGGTCATGTTATTTACGCAGCCGTAAACAAACATCTATCCTTATCAAAAAACAGACATCTACAATTGTCCATTCTTATTAACAAGCCACTACAATAATGGTAACTCCGACTTATGAAACAACTAGACAACTACACTACATTTTTTCCTGAAATAAAATCTGTCATTTTTTTTAACTATAAAAATTTTTTGGCAAATTTGAAGATTAAGCCCCGGAAACCAATTGTAATGAAAATTTCCATTTTGGTGTAAATTTGCATGTTTATTTATTTGTTTGTGAAAATCTACCGTTCAGGAGTTATCGACAATATAAGTACGGTCTTATCCGCCTCGTGGCTACAGCCCGGCAGCCATTACTCAGTACCGGCTTTGTTTACATATGTTTGCGTCGATTGATCATGCGCGAAAGCTCCATTTGTCTTGATTATTGTGCATGCAATACACGAACTTTAATGTAAAATGAATGCGCGAAATTTAAAAAGTAACCCAAAAGGAAAAACCCTCACTATTCAAAAAAAAAAAAAAAAAATATTTAAAGAAAAATCAAAATTACAAGCTAAATACAAAATTGAAATTACAAGATGAATGGAAATTAATAACAAGATAAAACAAAAAAACGCTTTTTTTAAGGAAATGATGTATTTATCAACAAAAAAAAAAATGCTAGAAAGGACCTTAACATAAAGAACTTAATAATAACATAATTTTAAGGTTCAGACTTTTTTACTTTTTTTAAGACTTCAGTAATCAAGACGAGTCAGAAGATAGAAAGATCGGGGAAAAAAAAAAAAAAACCGTAAATTAAGTAAGCTTCCGCGCATGATTATTCACGGTAAACAACGCGGACGGACTAGACTCGAATAAGGCCGAATTTATATTGTCGATAACTCCTAAACAGTAGATTTCCACAAACCTTTATTGTTATTTTCGAAATAAACATGCAAATTTACACCAAAATGGAAATTTTCATTACAATTGGTTTCCGAGGCTTAATCCTTAAATTTTTGACCCCACTCAAATTAAGAAGTACACTCTAGATAGCGAAGATGCCCACAATATTTTCACAAAGCTTTTTTAATAAAATAATTAATTCATTAATGAATAAGTACTGAAAATTTCGTTTGAATTGGATAATTTCCTGATTTTTGACAAATATTTTAAAACAGCTGATAGGGTTTTTTTTTTTTTTTGCTTCCATTTCGGAAAAAAAAAACGTCAGTTTTAACTAGAAACAAATACAAATTTGTTATGTGAAACAAAAAAATTGTTTCTAAGACTTATCCAACAATTAATGACGGCAGATGAAATTTTACACTGGATTATTTTCGATGAAATTTTACACTGGATTACAATTTCATTGCCATTTTAATGTTTTACGTACTAGAAATATTTTTAACTTTATTTGTTACATGTCCTCACTTCCGTCTCTAAGGGATGTCGTAAATTGACCCTCACTTCCGCTTGCTGACTTGTGTCGTAAATAAATAATGATAATTTGGGGGTTTGTTTTGAAAAAAATTATTACTGTGTAAAAATTCTAAAATATAATTATTCTTCACTTTTTTATTTATAATTTTAGACATTTCTCTGTCGTAAGTTTTACAATGCAGTTTTAGTTTGTGACATTCAACATTTTGTTGTTCCACATCTGCAGAGTAAAGAAGAAAACACGCGACACATTTTCAATTTTTTATACACAAAAAAGATTGGAATTATTTTCGAAAGGAAAAAAATCTGAACACTCATTTTAGAGTCTTATAAACATTGATCAGTGAAAAAAATATATATTTAAATTTCATTGAAAAGGACCATTTCGTTCATAATTTTTATTTGAAACGTTTTTTTATTTCGTGTCAATACGATATTATTGAAATTGTGTTTCTCTCGTGTGGTCATTTAGAAGATTATGGAATGAGTTCACTGTTTTAAAAAAAATGGTTATTTTCAATGAATTTGGATGTTATGGTTGTTGTCCACGGCCCCAATTTGCTTTCTGGTCGACTTTTATTCCTATGTAGACCCTCACAAGTCACAATGTTGACCCCCTACGGACCAGTGATCCAACCGGTCACTATTATTGCCAAATAGTGGATCTCTAACCAAGCAAATTAAAATCAAAACAAATTTTTTTACTGTCCAAAAGATTTGGGAAAAGAATTAACGTCTTTCGTTCATTCGTTTTTTTTTTTGTCTATTTTATTTACGAACCAACCCAAAGAGTGGATTATTAACCCGTATGCTTCATTTCTCAATTTCAATTTTCTTTTAAATTTAAAAGAAAACTCAACAGGCAGGTTAATTTTTTGTGTATCATTTACTTTTTTTTTTTTTTTTTTTACTGACTCTTAAACTGAGGTTTTAAAGAAAAATATATATTCGATTTTTAATTGATGTCTCACTCAGTCTTTTAGATTTGAGGGTTTTTTATTTAGTGTTTTCATTCGTTTATTTTTGTCCTAAGAACAAAATTAGCTGCATAATTTTTTTTTTATAAATTACAAACTTATACTTTAGTTATCAGAACTTAAAAATTACAATAATTGTCTTATATTATTTAACCTTGAAAAAAAATCAAATATTTTGAAAATAGTAAAAAAAAATTAATGAAAATTCTGACTAATTAATTAATCAAAAATATATTTGAATTCTACGTACTAAAATCAAAATAATAAAAAAAATTGTTGCATAAAAACTGGATTATTATTTCAGTAAAAGTATTTTTCTTCTAAAACTTTCCACTTTTATTTGTAGTGAAAAAATTAAATCATTTCGTTTGTTACATTTTTTTAAATTTAGACTTCTCTTGGATTCAATTTTTTTTTTTTTTCAAATACGCCTCTAACTTCAAGAGACGAGTACAAAAAAAAAGAAACTATTTCTTACTTAACGAACCTCATATTTAAATTTAATGTAAGGAATAATAAACAGAAATGGTGGTTTATCTTGATATTGCTCTTTTTTGTACTAGGGTATTTGGTGGCCTGTTGGAGTTAAAATTGTGATGCTTGGTTTGGTCCGTCGTAAACTGACCAACATGCACGGACATTTCCGCAGCAGTGTTTGGGACCCGGTGCTAATAATCGCTCAGATCATTTGCATGCAGTGTGTCTATTACACATCGGCTGGATTTTGGCTTTACTTCACTAGTTATGTGGGAAATTTCGACAGACGTCTTAGCCAAATCTTCACACAATCAGTAAGTATAGGCATTTATTTAACCAATATATTTCACAAATAAAGAAACCGCTGTCATAATAATTAATATTTTCACATTGAGATTTAAAGCTACAACCATCAGTTACGTTTACTAGATCTATGGTTCAATTCAATACTTTTTTTGCATCAGTTTTTAATTTCACATAATGTAAAAAAAAAAAAAGGTAGTACACAGCTTTAAAAGGAGATTTGTGCCCGTGTGATTCACAGAGAACCCTATACAAAGTCACTTCTTTAATAAGGGTTTTTTTCCGGTCATGCTAGCAATGCTACCCGGCGTGGACCCCAAAATCTTTCTTTTGCAGTTTTGCTCCTCTCCACGTATTTGAGAGACTTTCGTGTATAGGCTGTAAAAGAAAACTGTCGTAATTAAAGCCGTTCGATAAATTTAAATAAACACTTAATTTTGTTTTTTAGTATGTTTAGAATTTGTTATATATTTTCAAAATATATACTACACAATGTAACACAGTATGTCCACATTGCTTACTACTTCCTTTTTAATTGCTACTTCCGTTTAAGTTAATGTAAATACGGCGGTGTTTATTATTTTTTTCGGAATAAAAATTTGGCTTTATTGGACTCGGCAAAATAATCACTTTTTAAAGATCAAATCAGAAATGAATATTACAACACAGTTATCAAAAATAACTTTTAACGTTGAACATGAAGAAATCAGATTAGAAGGAAAATATTTAGAAAAAAAAAAAAAACTACTTATAGAAAAAAAAAAGGCAAGGTTTTTATCCCCTTCGTGATTGATAGGTACTGACTGATTGAAGGGCAAATTTTCAGTGTGTTCATGGTTGATATTGCATAATTTCTTTTTTACTCAAATAACATCTTCACAGTTTTTCCTTTATATAACTGAAAAAAGAATTTTGCAAACACCCCCCAGTTTAAAAGTACTCAAAATGAGAAAGTGAAACTTCCCCAACCCTGAATATTTCCACAGAGTTTTCTAAAATAATGGCCTATTCATTCATTAATAAGTACTGAACATTTCATTTAAATAGGATTAAACTTGAATTTTGGTAAGTTTTTAACAACTTGGGGTAGGGTTTTTAGCTTTCATTATCAAAATTGTGCATTTATCATTAGACATTTCAAGTGTCAAGTGAAATATTCTTTATTTGTCAGTGTTTTTTTTGCGGGGGGTGCTTCATTTTGTATTTTGGCTTTTTTATTGTTATGGTACATGCTATGTCAATAATAGTAGAATTCAAGGACTCTACAACAAATATTTAATTCTCAAAAAATCTCTCTTTTGAATTAAGAGTTTTATAATTTTGAGTGGATCTGTCCTGTGTGGATCTTCTTTCTATAAAATACACTTTAACATTTAGTTAGTTTAACACATTTATTCAGAAGATTTCTTTTCATTTTTGTTTTGGATTTATGAAATGTTTCTATATTTTCTTTAATTTTGCTCTTGTCTCTTGTTTAACAGTAACTGAATTTACTATTGGTTTGTATTGACCTGTACAACTATTTTCCTGAAATGTCCTTCCAAAGGCTGATTTCATATTGCAGATCTGTAGTCATGCATGCTTCTTAAGTGTCATTGTTGGTGATGAATTAGCAATGCTTAATAATTTGCAGAATTAATCTGCATCAGTCAAAATCATTGTATATTTAGGGATCATAACCCCTCCTTTTCAAACTTTAGTAGGTATTTGTAGCCTGATGCTTTGTTCTTCATTATGCTTAATGTTTTCTTCACTGACATAAATTTCTTAAGTTTAAGGGTTGTTCCACAGTAAAACTAGTTTATTTAATCAAATCTGACATTGTTCATACTACCTATCTGTTAATTTCCACATGACAACAAAATTGGGCAAAGCAAGAGAGATGGGTAAGAGGGAAAGAAGGTAGTGGGTAAGTAAGAAATCTAGAGAAAAACAAAAAAATAACACCTGTTGGATTCAGTCACAATTTCCATTTTTGGAAACCAATTGTAATATTTTTGAAGAATAAAGTTGAGAAAAAAAGGGAAGGAAAGTCAGATGCATGTTGTGCTGAATTTTATTACTCCTTTACCCCTTTGATCTTTTAAAGTTATTGAAGCTTTATTTTATTTTTTATTTTTTTTCAATGTAATATTGTATGTAAATACAATATTATTGGAAATTTTTCTGTGACTGAAATTTAAGTCTCATGCAATTGAAAGTTTTATGAACTTTTTTTTTCTATTTCTCAGTCTTTCATACAATTTTGTTTAATTCACTTTTGTTTCCAATTAAACCATGTTGATCATAACATTGATTTAATATTTCTAATGTGAAAAATCCTTTAATCTGATAACATAAAATCAGTATCTCTAAACTCTTATATTTTGTGGTTTAGTCACCAATTGTAGTAAGATTTTGAAAAAAATAGTATGAAATAAAAATAAAAGCAAGCTTTGGCTGGAATTTGAACTTGGCCTGCAAATTTCATTTTCTGTGTCAATAGCTATCACACCACCCATGCATCCTATCATATACTTTATTTTTATCAAACATTTTCCTTGTGATTTAAAAAATGTATATAGTCAAGATAAGATAAATTAAGCTATTACAATTGTTTTATTTCATGAAAATTAAAAAAAATATATTTATGAAGTGGAAAATTTAGGATGAATCTTCTTAGGTGGTTCAGAAAATAATGCAGGTTTTTAAGAGATATTTTTAAAATGAAAAAAATCTTACTAATCGGAGCTATTAGATTCTACATATTTTTCCCATAAGATACAAGTGTTGTTATTCCACTAACATAGGAGTTTGGGAGGCAACAAAAGCTTTGAATGCATTTTGGACAACAATTGAATCATGAAAAATTTTCTTTGTCAGTTGTACAAATGTTTAAAAAACGTTGTAATCAGTTGGCAGGAGGTCAAGTGAGTAAGGTGGATGAGGCACTTTCATAGCCCAATTCATTCAATATCTGAACATTCATTGTACTACATGTGGTCAAGCATTTTCATGACAGAAGAGTAGACCTCTTCTGTTGATTAGTGCTGGACACATCTGCAATTTCTGATGCATTTAAGAGATTTCTTGGCAATACTTCTCAGCTGCAATTGTTTCACCAGGATTCAGAAAGCTGTAATGAATCAATCCAGCTTAAGACCACCAGTCACCATGAACTATTTTGGGGAAGAGTTTAAGATTTTTCTTTCAATTCAACCATTACCCTGAACATCATTGGTTGTCATATAGGATCCATTTATTATCACATATCACAATGTGATTGAGAAAACGGGTCATTTTTGTTGCAACAATTGTTTTGGTTTTCATTCAATTCATGTGGTACCAATTTGTCCAAATTCTTAGACTTTCCAATTTTGTTCAAATGTTCAGAAATTAATTCAATATTTGCATGTAGCTCTCTTGCAAGCTCTCATTTTAACCGATATATTTACCAAAATTACACAAAAATATCTTTAAATACTAAAGAGTAAATTTACTCTTTAGTATTTAAAGATATTTTTGTGCAATTCAATAAAATTGCCATTGGCTTCAACCATGGCCACCAGACCTCTTCAAAATCTCCTGCAACTCTTCTGGATGGTCTTATTTAAGTTGGTGAATGCAGCCATAATACTTGCCTTCAGTTCATCTTTGGTGTTACAAGGAGTTTTGTTGGTGTCTCATTCAACTTTGCCCCACCAAGGGGTTGCAGTCTGGGGAGTTAGGTGGCCAGATGTAAGTGGTGATGTGGTCGCAGAAATTGTCTAACAACCATGACTTTCACTTGCTTGTTTGGCATGGTGCAGAGGCCTGTTTCCAGCGCCACCCTCTTGACTTGGGGTAGTGCTAGCTCGTCAAGGCACTTGATGTAGTTCTCTGTGTTGAGTCTGAGGCCTCATGGGAAGATGAATGGAGGTTTTAACTAGTGATCATGTCAAACACCATGATGTTCATTGGATATTTGGTTTTCATCACTCTCAGTAGCAAGTCAAGTGTTGTTCTGTGTGTTCACCTTCTTATCCTGGCAAAATTTTTCTCATCTGAGAAAAATCAAAGCATGTTCAGTTGGAGGGTATGCTTGAGTTTGTTCAAAAAGCTTTGTAGCAGTCTTTCCTCTTGTTCTTCATAACTTGGGATAAAAATTAGCCTTTCTCATCTTGTATGACAAATACTGAATATTTTCATGCATTACCTGCCTGAAATGAAACTCTGACACTCTTGTGTTCTTAGTTATGGACCTAATTGACTTGGAGAGATTTTTGTCAATCATGACCTTGATCTCACCAACAAATTTGGGAGTTCTTTTCTCATCAGAATAATCACAGTGGGTTTTCCGACCTGCTGTACCTTTGTACCATTAGACTCATTCAGCTCTTTTTGAATCCTTTGCACTGTCCTCACTCTGAAATGTTCATATTGGAGCATCCAGCACATACCGTTCCAAATTTCTGGCAGAGCGAATTGTGCCATGGTGCTCAGTTGACCCTACTATACTGTAAAGTCAACAAAATCAACAAACACGCGTGAGTGAAATTAAAAATATAAAAGGGCTATAATTTACCCATTGCACCCTGTTATTTACTTCAATGTTTTTAATTTCTCATCTTCAATGGCAAGCTAACACCCACAGTCTTTTTTCCTTCAAGGTTGATTTCACCACAACAGAATTTCTGAAACCAACATTGGACTATTCATTAACAAATCCTTCTGTTTAAACTTTAATGTTTTGAGCAGTCTGAGCTGGAACTATACTCAAGATTATATTCACAAAAGTAAATTTGACAATTCCCTTTTTTTTTTTATATCTTTGTCTGAAAAGAGGTCTGAAAAAGAAATATCTATGCAGTAAATGAAAATATATATATATTTTGTCTAAATGATCATTTAGACAAAATATATGAAATACACTTTAAAACAAACATCATTTTTACCTGTTTGTATGCTGTTTTTTTTGTTTTGTTTTTTTTTTTTTACATTAAAAAATAGATGAAAAGCATAGCAAAACCTTCATTTTTTTAACTTAATAAAATCAAAGCTATATAATACTAAAGTTCTAATCTCTACCCAAGATGCAGTTTAAACGATATGTAATACCCCAATCAATTTAGGAAAATACTGTACCTTGAACCTCTGCTGAGTACAGTGCCAAATTTCATTAAAATTAGACTAGGGCTGTTTTTCTGCTTTTATGGCATTTTTATCTGGAAATTCAGTATTTGTTTTCGATACACATTTTTATATCGAACACTTGCATATTATATTCCAACTATTATGTGTTAAAAAATAAGAAACATTCATAATACATAACATTATTAAATAAATTTAATAAGCATAATACAAAATATTTATACAATTCACTACACTACATTAGAACTTTTTTTTATAAACAACTACTGGAAAGGTGAAGCGGATGTATGTGTCACATGACTTGATGGTAAATAAATAGATTTGCACTACCATGACATATTTTGAAATAAATGCAAAGTAGAAACAAGTGTGTATAATAAAATATATACTTATTATTTTGATAACGACTCCACCTGTTTTAAGCTATTACTCCAAATTTTCTTGACTCAATGCATTAACTATGAAACCCAGTGGAACAATAAACCTTCTTTTAATTTTTAGCTTTCAAATTAATATTTTGTCTTTATCAGGACTTGGATCTCTGGGAAGGAACTGGACGAACTAATGCCATTGGATTTGCACTAAATTCCTTAACTTGGTTTGTATTCATTTTTATTTGATCTATTCCTTATGTCCACTTTTAGCTCTTGTCAAGCATAACAACTTTGTCCTCTTTGCAACACTGATCATGCTGTAGTATATGTTGATATTTCTTTTGAGTAGTATATTAGAAAGGAACCCTCTATTTACAAGAATTTGTTACTAACATGCTGTTTGGGATTCATTTCATGATGCCCCTTGAATTGGTATTCTTCATTTTCCTATTGTGCCACAGAGATTTCTTCTTGGATTAAAGCCAGCACTGATGTTCTTGTACCTTCTCACAAATACCAGGTGTAACCACAATCTTCTCTTTGGTTCACACCAGCCTATTCAGCTGCTATAACCGACAGGAATCACTTTTTTCCACATGTACTAGCATGATACTTCCGATTACGACATATGTCTATTTGTTCCTGCTTAAAATAATTATAAACATGCCCTTAAAGAGGCTAAGTCTTTGTTTGCTGATAGAATGAAGCACTGTATAGTCTTTAACAAGTTTGGTTCACATGATAACTGGAGGCTCTGTAATAACAGTATGCTAAATAAGAGTGTTTTCTATTCCTCCTCTCTTCACTCAATTTGAGGTGTTAACATCATCTGCTGATAAAACAGAATGTTTTGCTTGTAAATTCTTTTCAAGTTCTACTCCTTGACTCATCTCGATTGTCTTTGTTTGACTTTCCACTTAGAGCTGAGTTTTTTTTTGGGGGGGGGAGTGGTATACATATAACTTGGTCCATGGTTTCTGCTACTATCTCTAATTGATTGATTTCTTTGTTTAATAGCATATCAACTCTGTATGGGTCATTTAATACCAATTATTATATCTGAACTGGATCCCTTCCAAGCATGTGAACTTGATGGTATCCATGCAAGTGCAATAGTCCTTAAGAAATGTTTTCCTGAACTGGCTCCTGTTCTCTCTAAACTCTACAATAAATGCCTTGCTGCTTCTTGCTCTCCTGTTTGTTAGAAATCCTCTTCTGTAGTTTCAATCTTTAAGAAGTCTTTGAGACTTCCTTGGTTGCAATAAAAATATTACTGAGATTGTGTTGTGAGGCAGGGGTGCTTTGTCATCTAATGTGGAGTCAGATGCAAACATTATAACAAAGAACTTTGTCTTATTTGACAAGGATGAGATGACCTCAGAGCCATTTATGATAGTACTAACGTTTTGCCTCTATTGAAAATTTGGTTGGAGATTTTCCAGAATTTCCAAGATCCAAGTTGTTTGCTTTTGACCTTGGCCTAGACTGTTTATACATAGCTACACTTTCCATGTTCTAGAACTCTTACAATGACTGTGGGCAGTTCTGAATGCAGCAAATTTCCTACTAAACCACTTGCTCTGATATGTATTGTAGTAGTGATTATAGTGAGCTATGGCTGTAACACATTCAGGGATGAACCAGGGCTGGCTGTTCGGTTTTTGCTGGAATTTTTTGGGTCTATAAATTTCTCCATTCCAGAAAGGATCCATTCCAAAATGAGGTGAGCAGTAGTTTTTAGAAGCAGCATGTTTGAAGAAGGCTGAGAAAGGAGCTTTCACCATGTAAGATCTGAAACTGTTCCAGTCAGCTTTTGTGTACTGAAAAATCATTCTATGGTTTGGCATCAATTTTGACACTGACAAATGAATGGTCTGAAGTGCCCAGGAGGGGGTTAACGCTTCAGTGAAACATTTTTCAGTGCAGGATGTGAGGAACAGATAAAAAAGGCCCACCTGATGTCCTGTTGCATTGGTAACACTAGTAAGTTCTTCAATGATCTGTGTCAGTTCATAAGCAACAGAGAAATCTCTGCAGTATCTGATTTCTACATCAGTTTTCTTTGAGTTGATTACCACTCTTTGTGGTGAATATTGGTTCTGTCACTCTGAGGACAATAGAGAATGAAGATGAAAGTGGTACTCTGGACAAGTACATATACAGGAGATTAAAGTCCTCATTTTTGAGGACTCTGCTAAATAGGAAGCCCTCCTTAATATAGGCACCAAATCTGTGGCTATGGCAACCTCAACGGTTATCTTTTTACTCTTAGGGGCAAGTTCCTACAATGGGATAGATAAATCAATACCAGTTTTAGACAGGAATAAGAGGTCAGGTTTGTCATTGAGAAGATGAAGTTCAACTTTTGATGATTTCAAGCATAGACTTGGGTAGGAGATGGTGAATCTGGAGTCTACTTTTGTTTTTGTGCAATTGAGTTTAATTTTTTTTTTTTTCATTCAATTTTGTTGTGGCTAGAAATCAGATAGTGTGTTCAGGTGAAGATTAGGTAGTGTGACAGTCACACACACACAAGGAGATTTCATGCATCAACAACCTGGATTGAATTGTCTGGAGGTACAACAGAATCCAGAAAGTACATTTCTTGTCTACCAGAAATCAAGGCAACAGAATGTTTTTTTGCTCCCTATAGCCATTTTCATGAAGTATACCCTGTAGATGTTTACCATCAATTGTGACAATGAAAAACACATAGCCAAGCCTTCCTCCTTTAGTGAAGTGGATAAATTGTTATCTGAATGATACAAAAATGAAAATACCACTGACATCTTTTAGCAGATATATTTATCAAAATTACACAAAAAATATCTTAAAATACTAACGAGTAAATTTATTCAATAAAATTGCCATTGACTTCAAAATCTCATGCAACTCTTCTGGATAGTCTCCTTGTTTAAGTTGCTGAATGCTGCCATAATCCTTGCCTTCAATTCATCTTTGGTGCTACAAGGAATTTTGTTGGTCTCTCGTTCAACTGTGCCCTACACATAATAATCAAGTGGGTTGCAGTCTGGAGAGTTAGATGGCCAGATGTAAGGTGTGATGTGGCTGCAGAAATTGTCTGACAGCCATGATTGGGTTCTCCTGCTTGTGTATCATGCAGAGTCCTGTTGCCAGATATAGGGTCTTCTGGCAGCCACCCTCTTGACCCAGGGCAGCACTACCTCCTCAAGGCACGATGTAGGTCCCCGAGTTGAATGTAAGGCCCTCACTAACAATTTTAGTTCTTTTGTTATCAGAACAATCAGAGTGACTTTTCCAAGTTGCCGTAGACTCCTCCAACTGTTTCTGTATCCTCTGTACTGTACTGATTGACACCCAAACTCTATAAAATGTTCATATTGGAGCTTCTGGTGCAAATGCCAAGCAGTACAGCATGCTGTTTCCAAATTTCTGGCCAAGTGAATTGTATCGTGATCTTTTTCTTACAGATGATTCCCAACTGACTTACTAAACTGTTCAGTCGACAAACACAAACAACATGCATGCACAAAATTAAAAATATAAAATGGTGACAATTTACCCATTGCACCCTATAGATGACACTATACTCTGGTCTCACCAGAAAGCTGTACAAATACTGATAGACCATATGACTATGGTAAAACCTTCAATACAGTTGACAATAGAAGAAACCAATAATCAGCAGGTCTAATATTAATAATTTCCACAGAAAATGGGCTCAAGATGTCTATATATCACAAACCAATTTTCACCAGACAATACCTTTTCAATTCCAACCACTCATACAATGTAAAGAAAGGGATTACAATACCATGCAAAAATCATAAGTGACAATCCAGACACATAGCAGGAGATGATCAGCATTGAATATACCTTTCAGAATAATAACTACCCTGCAAACATAGCAGGCAGAAAAAAAACAGAATCAAGGAGGGGGATGAAAAAGATTCAGACAATATCAGAAGAATATTTAAAAATGGCTCAACCCTACAGATTCAAGCCTTTTGGTATTCTTTCTAATTAAAAATAATTTTATTTTTTTCATATGTTGATTTTTTTTTTTTTACTTAAAATATTTTTATCAAGTTTTTCTAATCATTGAGAAAGAAAGACAGCTGAAATTGTTAGTAAGAGGAAGATGAAAACTTAGCTAAGGTGTAACCAACAGACATAATCACTAACTAATGAAGACTCTTGTTACAAGCATAATAATATTAGTGTGATGATATATATAATTTTACTATAAAGATCTTAATGGTTCAAAATTAACACCAGAGAAGAAACCATAACCAACTCAAACCACACTAGTAATGTATTTTGATCACCACTAATACAATAAGTTTAATTATTGCTGAGAAAGAGGAAAATTTATTGTGAACTTGTAGTTTATAGAGCAGGCGCTAGTACATTTTTGCTAGCTCCAGCTCCAACTTTTCTAAATTATCTGGCTCCACAGCCCAGCTCCAAAGTTGCAGAAGGCCACATGTTCCACACCTAATAGGTAAAGTGTTGGTTTGTGAATTTGTTATTATTATATTGACATAGTAAATGTGGTTCAATCTCTGAGCTGAGCAATGTAGATTTATGGAAACAGAGCAAACAATAACTGAACACTACTAAATAAGAACTAGACAATATTCTTAGACATGGTCAGTAGAACAATGACGATCTATATAAATTAAATAAAAGGTTCAGTTCAAAATTTCTTGATAAACATGGGCACATGTTAAATATATATATATATAAATTCCCTGAAACATTGGGAAAATAGCACCAAAGGTGAGGACAGTAGTCCAGATGTAACTCACCACAGAAATTGATGAGAAAAAAATCTATATTAATGTGGTATCTACCATTTTTAGTTTATCAATTGATTTGAATCTCTTGTCCATTTTTTTTTTTCATTTGTATTACTATACATCATTTTGAAGAAGTTTTTCTGATATTTAATTTGAAAAGTTTGATTTTCTTCTGTGTATGTCTTGAGCATCTTTCAAACTGTCATTGCTTGCTTTGTAATTTTTTCAAGGTTAACTGCTGTAATAAGTTTAACACCAAGTTCAATATTTTGGTCTCTTGTTTTACAATTTTCACAATTCTGTAAAGCCACTTGAATTTGGTCCCTATTCAAGTCTGTCCTTCAGATATTTTTTTTATTAACTTCTTTTACTAGTTATAATGGATTCACCAGTGGGGGTGGGGTGATTTCTAAAATTGACAGAATTTGGAATTATTTTAAAATGAAAAAGGATTTTGATGAAACTGAAATTATTTGTAAGAACATTTTCTGTTCTTTTATATGAAAAAAAAAAAAAAAAACCTAAAGAATTAAACACATCCATGATCTTATAAAACTGTAAGTCTAAATCCAAAGTAGATTGACAAAGTGTTTCAAACATTGATGGTATGTTGATCTGATGTTTACTGAGTATTCCAAAATGTGGATTCATCCAATACAATATCATAGTTGTTTCCAATATTAAATTCTCATATTTCTTCTTCCAGTGCTTTTGGGCTGAGATTCATTGTACAAAGAACAAAACAATGTTTGGACTTTGCTGCCACAGTACACTTGATTCACTTTATTTGTTGTTGGTCATACAATTCTCGAGTACCACATAACATTTACTGGTGGGTAACAAACATCATCTCATTAATCCTGATGACAGTGATTGGTGAATTTCTATGTTTGCGGTCAGAAATGAAAGCTATTCCGGTGTCAATGGGACCAAAGGCTGATTTATAGCCTACTGGACAGGCTGGCATTAATAGCACCCAAAGAAAAACTCCTGAAGATTTCAAAACATTCTAGTCTTTGCAGCTGACCATGACAATATTTGGTTGCATCTGATAAAGCAATGATCTTCAATTTATGGAGTTGTACAGCTGGTATTTTTTTTTTTTTTTTTTTTTTTTTAACCAGGCTTTATATTTTGGATATGCATTTTTAAAACAGCACTGTTGGTATTTTCATTACAAGAGAAAAATAAGAGAAACAAATTTTCACCAATTTGGAGAGGTAAGAAACAAAAAAAAAAAAAAAAAAAACCTTCAAAGATGAAGATATTTTCCTTTTATAGTACAAATCATTACAGGGTCACATAATAAAACATACCTACCTCTCCCTTTGAGTAAGGCTAATTTACTAGACAATTTTCAGTTAGAAATTTTTGTTCATTTTCTATTCTTAAATATAGACAAGTTTAAATTTTTTAAATGCTTATCCATGAGATCTGATTAAAAAAAAAAAAAAAAAAAAACAACAGAAAAACAAGCAAAATTACCAAATGTGATGAGGAGTATTATAAATAATGTTATTCTACATGTACAGTGAATTTTTTTTATAACGGTGTCTAATGGAAATATGATGAAAAGAACTTTGAAAATTATTTTTAAATGGTGCAGTATGAATTGCTCATTTCTTTAAAGAAAAATGTCACAATGACAAAGGTTTAAATATTTTGAAAACTAATAAAATACTTTGACCAAGTAAGCATTCTATTTTTTCATTTTGTTTTATTCTCTTTTAAACCTGAGAAAATTAGAATTAGTTTGTGTCCTCTGACCTCATCCATTATGAGAGCAACAGTTAAGTAGGAATTGTTCTCGCTGTCTAACTGGTGACTCCGCTGTTGTGGTTTTGTGCCACAGCAAGTTTACTAAATAAGAATGTATATTGCAATGTGAGAAAATTGATATGACAAATTCATCTTTATAATTTGATCTTGGGAGCAGCACTTGGATTTAGGCAGATTTTTTCCATCTTTAAGTTAATCAATAGACTGCAATTACCAGACTAAGGAAAGTCATTGTAAATTTTCCAATTATATTTTGTTAGTGGAATAAAATATGAGTAAATGTAGGAACAACACTGGCATAAGTTCAAGAGACAACAGCATTGTTTTTAATTTTTACTGTTCTGTTCTCATTGAGTATTGGCCATATTTGGCAACATTTGTGCAATTTTTAACTAAATCCTTTATTCAATACTCAGGAATGTCTTGTATTATTTAGTTAATTTGTCATTCTGCTCCTTCCACTGAAGCATGAAAAGTAAAATGAATTACTGAAGAAAGCTGAAACATGATTAGACACACGAACACCAACTCAAGGAAATCAGTTAATAACATAGGAATCTTTATTTAAGGCCATGTCATCACATATATCTTGCCAAGAACTATAGACCTATCTCAAATCTTGTCCTGAGAGCAAAGATTTTTTTTTTTTAGTTTTTTTTGGGCTTACAGCAGTTCAGTGCTGTAGTTAGCTTAAATTTTTGCTTTTTACATTTGGGATTACCTTTAGCTTATAAGATTGATTTTATTTCCTTCAGACTTTGTTTTCATTGCAAATTTTGCACAAAACCTAATTCATTAAACCTGCTCTTTTTAGAAAGTTAAACTAACTTTAAGTGGAAAATGTTAAATTAATATTCTTCTCAAATTTTTATTCATAAAAATACAAGAATGATCAACTTTGTGTACTCTGTATTTCTTTTTATGAAAAATGTTACATTACTTTTATAAAAAGCATAAAAATTTAACATTTTAATTTTACTAGATTTAAAATTAATCTTTTTTTTTTCTTTTCAGTCTTTCTTATTGCAAATGTTAAAGTTTCTCCCAAGAAAGTTAATTTGATTTTTATTTTTTTTTTGTTATTTCTTTAAAAATGTTATTACATGATTTTTTTTTTTCCTACAATGCATTTAAAAATTTTGAATTTTAGTTTACTGTTAAAAACACAAAACAGAAGCAAACTACAAAATTAATGGAAAAAAATTCATTAAGAACATTGTTTTATAAAGTTTTCACAAATTCAAATCTATTTTTTAGATACTGTATATGAAGTGCATCCCTAAAACTACTACTAAACCACACATTTTTAAGGGTTTTTTTTTTTTTTGTTTGTTTTTTTAAAAAGGTACTTCTATAATCATAAAATTTATTTATGACAAAATAAATCCTCATAAGTTATTTTATTTCTAAATAAAATGTTACTTGCAGGTTTATTTTGTTTCAAGTATTTTTATTCCAGAATTCAGTTCCTACATGGTGTTTGTTTTATTAAAACTTCAATAATTCATTAAAACACATTTTCTGTCTATATTTCTTAGATGAGGTATTGTAATTTATTCACATTGTTTGGACTGTTGTCATCTTTTATTGTCGTATTCACAACATTTCAATCATTGCATACTCCGGCCTTCTTCAGGTGATTGGAATTTTAAACTGAACCCTTTATTTCATTCACCAGAGTAGATTCATGTTTTCAAGGACACAAGGCCCAGTGGATAAGTGTTGGTTGGAGCCAGTGACTTAAACCAAAAAGTTCTGAGGTCAATACCTGGCTACTGCAGTGATGAACAAAAATTCAGGGAGATAAGAGACAACTGGAAGAGCCATGGCACTTGAACAATCTCCTCTGGTGATAAAGGGTTCAATTCGAAATTCCAGTCACCTGATGAAGGCCAGAGCATACAATGGCTGATGACAAAGATAAGGGTTCAAACAATGTAAAATAACATTTTATATACCTTGTTAACAGGGTGAGAAGTAACAGGTCCAAAACTCAAATAATATACCAAGATGAAAAGGATTTACTTTTTGAGCCAAATTAATTATGCTCTTAACTTCTGTAGAAGTGAACCAACACAAATCAAAACTAAAAATCTTGACTCCTAGTGGAATAATAAAATGAGATACATCTCATACAAGAGGCCTGAGTGACGACATGGCCTTAAAGATTGCTGTTTACTAATTTTCATCTCTGAAATAAGTATAATTTTACTGGAAACAAAATTACTTTGAAATCAGATTATATTTTAGCATGCTGGATATTTTAGTTGGTGATTTATATAAAACAATTGAAACAAGAAAAAGAATATTTGTTCAATGAAAAAAAAAAAAGTTTTCTTTTTTTATTGTTTTAGAGAAAAAAATTCATATTACATGTATACAAAATCCCCACCTCCATTTCAGATGAAATATTTTATGTACATAGATCAGAGTTCAAAATGAAGTTCCATCATAACTTTATATTTCATTTTGAGAGAGAAAAAAAAATTCTTTTAATACATACAAATTGAAATGATTAAGAAAAGAATGCCATGATATTAAGCAGAAGAATAAGTTTTATAAATTTATCATACATTATAAAACAAATACTGAATAAATGTAAGGATAAAAGCAAGCTTTCTACTGGCAATGTCAGTCATTGCTCGATTTTACTTATTCCCTACTTCTCTGCTCAAAGATGACTGGTGATAGTACAGAGTGGTTTCATGGGCATAGACACCTAATTAGAATTTTCTTTAAAGTGCTTTAGTTTAGGAATTTTCATTTACTCCTGCCAAAACTTGTCAAATTTACTCCTGCCACTTTCTAACAATTCAAGTGTCAATTTAGCCATTTCCTTAACATTTTAAAATTAAATTTCAGTAGTTGTATACAAGATCTAAAAAAAACTGCCATGAACATGTAAGCATTAAGATTGTATTAAAGAAAAAAAAAAAATGCCTAAATATAATTCTTCTATGTGGTTTAAAGATGGTGACAAAAAAATTGATTTTTATGTAATGTCACTAATTTAAATTCCAAAAAGCTATAATGTAAATCATGTAATTAACTGAAATATTTTCTAAACTGTGTGATATTTTATGAGCTAACAAGGTAAAAAGTATCAAGAATTGTTACTTATCTATCTCAGTTGATTTGGCTTTTAAATCCCAATCAACAAGATTAATCTTCATAAATTTTTTTCATAAATTGCTTTCAGGTAAATATTTCATAATTGAGGGAAACATGAAGTGCTCAATGTGTTTATTTAGACTTCACTTTAAATAATTTACTCAATGGATATAGTTAAAATACTTGATTGAAAAAGCCAAAACATTGCATATATACACAGGAAGGTGAGAGTAGCCTAACAGTCAATGGAATTGGCAAAATTCAAACTCCACCTGAGACAGTTTGTGTTCATATCACACTACACTCATCCTTCCCAGCTTTAAGTAAAAAGCAAAGTAAAAAGCAATTATTTAGCCATGAAAGGCTGTCTGAACTTCAATTTAAAAAAAAAAAAAAAAAAAAAAAAAAAATCGGTTCATACAGCTAATGAGAAGCAACTTTTAGAGAACCACTTCACTTTATTTTATTTTCTTTAAATGAAAGTTTTTAAATTCACTATAAAGTATGTATTTGATATAAAAAAATTTCTTTTGCACTTAATTTAGCCCTACAACTTAATTGTCCATCCAGAAACAATCCAATATTTCTCAATCTCTAGAATTGTTTTTGTTTACCATTCTTTTCAATTTATGTTATTATAATAATTTCCAACACACACATCTAGAAGATAAGTCATTAATACCATTATAGAAAACCTGAAAATCCTTTCACTGGCATCAGTTCATATGTGGCTATATAATGTAAAGATAAAAAAGCAAATGAAAGAAACACTGCTAAAATTAGTGAAGTTCACTGGTCAGTTGAGTGAAATGTCCATCAAACGGATCTCAATATTCATGAACAAAATAATTGTCATTCATCAGACTAGGTTAATTTTTGGTTTTGAGCACCTTTTAAAGCAATTTTTTTTTTTTTTGTCAAAATAAATAATAAAAAGTAAATTGTCATAAGTTAGTAATTATCTGACTCTTCTTTTTCTTAAATTATGCATAATCAGAAAAAAAAAATGTTCACTTATTGTCACTATAACTAATAAATGGTATTTATCATTTTCATAAGTTATTTCCTTCTTGAATTCTGTTCACCTTCAAAGAGATGCAGCAAAAAAGAATCTTGACAAAAAAGCAACCCAAATTACATTAACCATATATTCAAAACAGGAGCAGTAATATTACTGTTTCAATGTTTCTTAAACCACACTGCCATCACTTTTAGTACCATTAATTACTGGACAATCAAGTAAAATCTATAGAAATATATACTTATTTGGATATAAATGTATAACTGCAAACCTAGAGACAAAAGCTTATCAAAAACCCTCCAAAAGTGTCAGGAGAGAGGTTTTATATATTTAAAAGAGAAAAAGAAAAAATCAAATCACTATAAATATATCAGAAAACTCTCTTTTTAAAGAACTGTTTTCTTTAGCAACTTTATAAATCTTAAAAATATATAAAATTAAATTTAAAAGACTGTCCAATTTACAAGAATTAAGTTTTAAATGATAAAAGTAATAATGTAATTTTTTTTTTTTAACTATAATTTTTATTTTATTTGCCTATAGGTTACATTAAAAGTCAATAAGTATAACATTTAAACCTAATAATTCAGAGAGCATGTACTCAAAATATTTAATAAAGTACATTCTGACATACACCAGATTTTAGAAGACTTGAAATTTAAATTAAATTAGTATCTTAATTTTGAACTTAGCTTTAAAGTTAATAAAAAGCTTATTTTTCCTATCATTGAAATTTTTATGCCATCTTCCACTCTTTCCTTCACATTTTGGATATGCATGAAAAATACCATTATTTTTCAGCAGTAGAAAATAAACTAATTGATAAAGGGACCAAAAAAAAAAAAAAAAAACCTTTTCTGAGATACTTCAAAAATGTTATACTCATAATACAAGCTATTAATACTACCAACATTTTTTTTTAAGTCATATTAAATATATAATACGATTAAAAGAAAAAAATTATTGAAATGAAAATATGACTGACTATTAAGAAGCTTTATTATAACTGCTGCATACCCAAATCAGCCAAGTAGCAGATCAGCTGCTTCAGATGGCTATTTACATTTAATTTAGGCAACTCTATGGTAAATGCAAGCATACATAGTCCATGTGGCACAGACGTCTTCTGGGTAAGGAAAAACACAAACACTGACAGCATGCCTGACATTATCTCCTCGACATTGGATTATTTGTTGGCATTTGCTGGATCTGAAACAAATGAAATTTCGAAGTGTGATGACAGCAAGGTAATAATTAAAACTGTAAAATGCAATTCTATCTCAAAAGGTACTTAGACAATTTTCAAGCAGAGTTGAAATGTGCTTAAATCTGGACGTTTCATTCAATGCTAAGAGAAAAAGGGAACAATCTGTGTTCAAATTAAAAAAAAAAAAAAAATCAAACTGCAGCATTATTTTTTTATTTATTAAAATCTGACAATCTTAAACAGTTCTTGGACAAAATATTTTAGCTGTCTAATGATTTTGATGGTGTATTTTTTATTTTTAATGCCATAGGCTGTTTGTCAACTATCGCTAGAGAACCTAGTCTACTTTATGCATAAAAATTTGAAATATTACTCAAGAGAGATTCAAAAATCAGTGATCAAACTTCTTCAAAGATTATATATAAGAAAGTATAAATAAAAACACAAGAACTAGACTCATTAATTTAGCTACAAATTCCATTAAATTTTGAAAAATTTATTAATCTCTTCAATATAAAATATATAAACAGTTAAAAATTTAATCAATGTAAAACAGTTCATTCTACATCAGAAACAGATTACAAATAGAATGCCCTCAAAAATGCATTGGCAAAATATCCCAAGATTTAAAGAAAAGAAGATATGAATACAAAGGTACTTAAAAAGAACACACTCAATGCACTTGTGTGCCAATGAAATGTTTGGAATCACAATTTTGATTTGGAAAATTCTATTTTAATAAGTGAATATAATTTATTCAGATGAAGATACATTAAATGTGCCATAATCTATGAATCACTTATAATTAATATATCACTGGATTATTTCAGTTTATTATCCTCAATTTTTTTTCTTTTAAACTAAATTAGTACTGAAGAGGAAAGAAAAAAAAATGATAGAAATTAGTTAAAATTTAATTTCTATAACAATGATGATGCTGCATAATTGGTGAAATAGTAATTTTTCAAAGTATCTTATATTTGGTTCATTCTATCTCAATTTACCTAATTCTTAACATTTTCATGAAATTTCAGTAGGTGGAGACAAAACCTGAAAACTTCAAAATTTATTGAGCCATTTGTTCAACAACTTGCTTAAATTCACATGTTCCAAACATGGTTTTACTAAAATTTGACACTTTATAACTTTTTTTTTTTATTCAAATTGAAATTTTTCTACCCTGGCAGATTTCTCACTAACAAGCCATTTCAATTTCATTTTATTTCTTAAGTGGCTTGAATTCTTCAAAAACGGTGCTGAATTTTGAGTCAGTCATAGAAAGTAAAAGGTGGTAAAATAAAAATTACCCAGATTATTTTCATCTTGGGTAAAAATGTAGAAAGTCTTAAAAGCAATAAATATTTTTCTGTTAAGAATGCAAAAAAAAAATATTTTAAGTAAAAATCAAAAGGTTTAAATTTTTAAACATTTTTTTTTCATTCATGAAGATTAGAAAAAAAGTTTACAGATGCAAGTTAAACTGAAAATGCTATAATTCAGAGAATTGAGATGAATTATTGTGTATCAATTATAACTCTTGAAATCCAGGTCACATTGAAAGTAATAGAGCTTCTCATTTCAAAAAAAAAAAAAAAAAAAATCTCCTGTCAATGTAAATTAGATGTCTTTTACATTACTAAAATTAGGTTAGAATGGACTAAACTAGCCAGTTTTTGCTCAGTGCCTCCCAAAATTAATATTGCAATACAAATTATTAATAGGGAATGAGAAAAATGTTAAGAAATCACACATACACAAGTCAAATGTTTTCTTAAGTATAACTTACTTCATTGACTCTTTAAATAGCAAATGCATGTTTAGATGTTTCTGTTGAATGGGAAAGCCATTGAATTCCTGTTCATCTAACATCATTTTCTGTAAAGCATCCTTAAATTCTTGTGTACCAGAGGAGTTGCCTTGAGAATAAAAACAAAATGAAAAAAATAATAAGTAAAACAAGGGGCATGAGTGGGGGAACAATCACATGTCATTATTTAATTTGTTCCTTTCTGTAAGTGTAGGAATTAATTAAATTACATTGGACATTAAATTTACTTAAAGGTTTGGATGCTTATTCATTGAGTCAGGTTTATTAGGAATTAAAAAATGAAACTAATGTAATAGTAAAATACCTACCCGTCCACTCCATACAGATAAATGTTAGGTAACCCTGGTTTAGTCTCAAATAAATAGAAAGATTCATAGGACACAATGACAAATGTTATAAAGCAATCGATTTCTATTGAATCAACCTCACCAAATGAAGTAAAAAGAATCCATTAAAAGCTATTGACAAAAATAAAATATTAATTCCCAGTTAAGCAAACAAGGATTTTTTTCTCTCCAGTACTCCTTAGATTATGGGAATAAAAAAAAAAAAAAGTTCTGAAAGGAAAATTATTGAAGAGAAAATTATCAATGATAACTAATATTAATGGCATTGTTGTCACCAACATGCTTAAAAAAAAAAAAAAAAATTTCATTATTTGATGGAAAAGGGTTGGGGCAACCACTATATCCAATAAAATGGATATATTCAAAGCAGCTGGATAGTTCAAAATTTTCAGTTTCCCAAATTCAATTTTTACATTTAGTAGCCATTTGGACAATGGTCTCAAATAAAATAAAATAAAAAAAAATCCTCTTTACTCACCGGTAATCCGCTCATTCTCAAAATAATGAAGTCGGGATAATAGCAAATAGCTCAGTTGGTCATCCCACTGGGTTGTCAGTCCCTCAGCCTAAAATAAATGGCAACATTAAAAAATTAATTATAAACAGAAAAATAATTGTAATTAAAGTTTTTCCTATGACAAGAGAAATTCTCAAAAAGACAAAATCAAATTGAAATCTAACCTAGAAAATCCATTTGTGTCTTTGTGCCTAAAACATTAAAAGTATTTTTTTTCAGAACAATTGTATATTGACTTATTTTGTTACAAGCGTTTTAATTTTTGTTGTTGAAAGTCTAGTGTCATTCAGTCAAGTTAGGCACACAGTAAAGTGGAGAGACATGTTTGAATAATAAAAAAAAAAAAAAAAAAAAAAGCTAATGTTTACAGTCATTTCTTCAAAGAAATAGTGAATATTACGATGGATGGCAAAATAATATTTACTTGTCTTTGAATGGTGATCATATGTCGAAGTTGTGCCTCAAGGATGTTGCTTTTATTGATTGGATCAATAGGGCTTCGGTTCAGGTGGCAAAAAGGTGTCCACAAGGGGCATGCTGGTGAATCATAAAGCCAACACAGAGCATCTGGGGACATTGGTTTCCATTTGGTGCGTTCATTAAGAACAAAATCACATACCTCCACAGTATCTGATGGCTGAATATGAAAAAAATAAAAATAAAAAAATAATAATAAAAAATTACAAAAATAAATTTGCATGAAATAAATTCTTTGAGTAAAGGAAGATACAATGAATTCAAAATTAATTTCTGAGGATCAAATGTATGACAAGAGTAACACCTTTCTTGTCTTTTAAATAAAGTAACAGGGAAATATTTCATCTTTATGATGCACAAATCCCTTCCAAATAATTATTTATTTTTTTTGCAAATAAAATTTCACAAGCACACAGAAAGGTTGCTCTCTCCCTCTCATATAATATAATATAATAATATAATATATATATATAAAATATAATATACTAGCAGTAGAGCCCGGCGTTGCCCGGAGATATAACAGTAAGAGATAGATCAAGTATCGACCATCATAAAGACTGAAAAATAAAATTGACAAAGATTATTGTTTAAGGTTGACAGACACGCATGTCTTAATTAGTGATTTTTTTTTTTTTGTTTTTTTTTACGAATTGGTCAAACCCAAACATTGTTTTCAATCATTATAAGTCTACCGATTGAATAGAATTTTATTATAACAATTGTCTTGTAAATGGAATTTTTAAAGCATTCTGAATGTAAAGATAAAGAAAATAGTGTGCAAGACAATAAGAAACACTACATGCAAAAGAAACACTACATGCAAAAAAAAAAAAAAAAAGTGAAGTTTTGTTGAAATCGGTTGAAAAATGTAGGTAGCCTTTCTGTAATCTTTTAGCTTTACAATTTATGATTTTTACTTATTGAATACAGTAAAAAAAATTGCATATTTTGCTTGTGGTGATTCATAATTAGAATTCTGATTTGAATATATTTTCCACTTGTTTCTAATACAAAAAATATTAACTTTATTTGGGTTTATTAATTATGATCTAACAAATCTTATTCATTTAGTAGCCTTTCTGTAATAATAATCTTTTACAATTTATGAATTTTACTTATTGAATACAGTAAAAAAAAAAATTGGACACCATGTGTATTTAAAGTAGTTTCCGGTTATTATTTATAGTTAGGAGGACTTGTGTATGTTTAGATTTCATTATCTTTCCCTAAAGATAAAGAATTATCCGATGCTTGGATTCGTACAATCAGTAGAGATCGTTAGATTATTGTTTAAGGTTGACGGACACGCATGTCTTAATTAGTTTTTTTTTTTTTTTTACGAATTGGTCAAACCCAAACTCAAACAAAAACACTGTTTTCAATCGTTATGAGTCTCCCGATTGAATAGAATTTTATTATAAACAATTGTCTTGTAAATGGAATTTTTAAAGCATTCTGAATATTAAAAATAAAGAAAAAAGTGTGCAAGAGAATAAGAAACACTACCTGCCAAAAAAAAAAAAAAAAAAAAAAAATGAATTTTTGTTTTATCGGCTGAAAAATGTAGGAAATCCGATCCCATATATAAAAGGAACACACACAAACAACCTGGGTTTTTAACCCGATGTGAGTTGTCCCCCTTTCAGTCTCACGATGTCTCTTAATCGTGTTTTCAAATTGATTTTGTGCAAAAACAATTGTATTTTTCCCATTTTTGGCGCTGTTAGAACCACCACAAGGTAATTTTATGTAGTCCTGTGAAGTTTTGTTGAAATCGGTTGCAAAAATGTAGGAAATCCGATCCAATATATAAACGTTACAGACACACACACAATCTGTGTTTTATAATAAGTAAAGTATATATAAACAAACAACTCACAAATTTTATAAAGATACAAGAATCTGCAGAAAATTCCTAAAAGGTTATCCAAAAATAACAATTGTAAATGGTGACAAAATATTTTTGAGAAAGGAAGCAGAGGAGTGTAAAATTATTTTCAATAAATGGCTAACAACATAAAATGCATTTTCAGATTTGCATTGCATTTTCTCTAGAGATAATTGTTCTTGCATCATAAGACTTTCTTTTACAGTCATATGGCAAGGTAACTCTTATCAGGTAGAAATAATCCATTATTGTTAGGATACATACTGTGGGCTATAAGTTTTTAGTCACCCTTGATTACAGTAATTTTGTCTTGTGTAATAATAAGTTTGCAATAATCTTGTATATATATTTTTTGTAATATACTCCAATAAATACCACTGCTTTCTTTACATTAATCAATTAATAAAATATTTATTTTTCCAATTTACAGGAATGTTTCACTTAATCTTATCTTAAAAAAATAGTAAACATTTATTTTTCTTTAAATTTTACTGCAGTGATCATTATCCTTTGTATAAACTCTAATCTTTATTAACTGAATGTTAACTTTTTCTTTTCCTATTAATTTTTTTTGACAATTTCATTAAAAGAACTTGTGATGGCAACAACAACATTTTTTAATTAATTAGCAACTAATCTGATTAACAGTAGCAAAAATAGACACTTTTGACTTGATCAAGTCTTTTCTATCAAATCATGAAATGATAGTTATTCTGAACAGCCACTTGTCTAGATCCTTTCATACTAATGTAGGTGACCCCCCCCTCCCGAGTCCATCCTTGGTCCTACTCTATTTTTAATTTTCATAAATAACCCTCCTGATGACATCAACTTTCAAATTAGTATCTATGCTGACGACAAGCAATTTACTCCTGCCTCAAAAGTAAGGCTTATCAGTTTGACATGGTCAAAATGGCAGCCAATATCCAAAACAACCTCAAGTAGGGTCCTCCAAAATTAAATTTATATCCATTAATCATCTGAGAGGCCTTCCATAAGCATGGCTGATGCTAAACTCCAGAATAGTGACTTGTTGCACCTTCACATTCTCACATTGCTCACATTCTCTGGTGATATGAAATGGAAAGACTATATTGAATCCATTGTTAGATCAGTTGCTAAGAATGTTGATTCACTATGTTAGGCAAGACAATTTTTCTCTCCAGAATTCATCTTACATATCTATAAGTCTACCATTCATCCATGCTTAGAATATTGCTGCCACATATGGCTTGGTGCCCTTGCTATTTACAAAGGGCTCCTCGATCCAAAGAAGAATCTACAATATTTTTGGTCCTGATTTGGCAGCTCAGCTTCAGTCACTTTCCAACTACCATAAGGTTGCCTATGTCTTTTCTATAAATACTTTCATGGTAATTGTTTAAATGAATCTTTCCAGCCAGCTTTGGTCTGCAAAAATTTAAATGCAATGTAAAATTGCTATCTACTGTCCACCTGATTACTCTCTTCTCTTTCTGCTCATCATTAATGTTTCTGTTCCTAATTCAACCATACCCTGTAACCCCTTGTGTTTTAGTGGTATTACTGTCTTGCCTGAGGTGATTCTGATCCCCCCCAAAAAAAAAAAAAAAAAAAAAAAAAAAATGTGCCTGGTCTTGATTAAGGACCTGTAGTCAGCCACTGTGCTGTCCACAGTGGGTGGTAATACTTATCAGATATTTCTGGTATACATGTAATAATGAAGATAGATATTTCAGAAATGGAATGTCCCATCCATCTATTACCCACTGCTCTGTACCCTATTTGAATTCCATCCTATTTACACTGACTCATCAAATGTCAGAACACATCAAAGTAGGTTCGGGCATTTTAGTATAACACCACTGACCATTACATTTACATACAGTTAACTCATAATCTTTTGTTATATCAGTGTTGTTTCACTTCATTATAAGAGAAAGCACATTTTTAAACAAACACAAAACTGAATGTTGTTGTTTTATTATCACCACACAATTTCTCCTCTTTAAACTGAAGAAAATAAAATATTTTAAAAAAAAGGTGCAATCTGCAATTAATGGGGATTGCCACAAGTTTACCTAATGTAGCTTATATTTGAAAAATTAACACCCACAGATCCTGTACAACACAATGCTGTAGACAAGACAAGATTTTGCAAATTTGATCATATTCTGCCATTCAAAATCTTTATCCAATTAAACATGCAGAATGTTCACAGTAAAAATGTTTAAAAAATTTTTTTTTTAAATTGTCTTATCAAATAATCTAGTGTGTTGATGAGAATTTGTCTTACCTGGATATTGGCATAAAAACTCTTGTGATTAAAAACACATCCTACAGTTCGATAAGGATACGGATGTGGATGCTTGCTGTGAGAGAGATCACCAATATGGACAGGTTTATGTAAGTACCTGCAAGAAAAATACATAGGAGAGATTTATAAGTATCTCATTATGAAAGAGAGAGAGAGAGTGAAGCAGGCAAAAGTGCATGGGAGAGTGAGAGAGATGTCTGTGGGCAGGAGAAACAAACAACTGTGTGTGTGTGTGTGTGTGTGTGTGTGTGTGTGTGTGTGTGTGTGTGTGTGTGAGAGAGAGGCAAACGAGTGTGCACATGTGATAAACAAACGTGTTTGAGCGAGAGATATGAAAAAAAAAAAAAAAAGAAGAAAATTGAAACATTGAGCAACTTACGTATCACCAGTCTGACTTTCCCAAAATGTGAAAACACCTGAACAACTTATGGTGATCACCCAAACATGGAAATCACCCTTTGACTTTGTTCCTACACATACATAAGCATCCAAACCAAATCCCAATAATAAACTACACAACAGCACTGCATGGTCCATAGATTCCTGTACACAAACAAGGAAATTTATAAAATTAAAGGTTTTACATTTTTGTGAGTTTCTCAGTCACAATTAACATCAGAAAATTAAATGTTAGAAAATCTTTCAATATTAACAAAAGTTTTCAAGTCTCCCAACAAGTTTCCAATAAAATTTTACAAGTAGGCAATTTCATATGAGCAAAGCTGCCAAGAGTAAATATTGTGATTATTTGTGTATAATACACAATAACTTTGGGTTAGAAGATTCTGACAGAAAAAAAATATTCAACTAAAATAAAAATTTATCTAGTTTTGCTTATGCTTTGGAACAAAATTTGCTGTTTTTTAAAGCAAATACACAGAAACGATCTACAAAAATTCAAAATAAATCATGCCATTCCTCGTGTGAGATTATTTTTGCTGCAAGCACACACTAGAAAAAAAAAATATAAACAAACACATTCTAGTGGGTCTGTAAAACAGAAGTTGATGTTACTACTACATCATGACACAATCATTAAAAAAAATGTTGCACCATCAATGTGTAGGACAATAATGAAGATATTCTTTTTGAGGAAAATGCCAAAACATGAAACTTGTATCATTTACAAGGATAGTTGTGAAGCAGACTAAATTGTGCTCTGAATAAATTCTTTTTAAAACAAATGCAGTGTTCTTTGTAATACACTGGTTAGTTTAAGCCATATATATAACTTACTTTCAGTCATACTGTTCAATAGATGGCAGGAAAAAACTTCATGTCTTAAAACAGATACAAATTTGAATAAAAACCTATAAATGAATTAGACCAAAAGGTGTTTATTATGAGAATGTGGGGAACTTGATTTATAAAGTAGCAGTTATAATTGTCATATACATATAAACAAAAATAAAGCTAGACAAAATATTACAAAGAAAAAATTCAAAAGAGAACATGTAAACTGAATAAAGGAAAAACTAAGTGATTTTTTTTGTTGTTTCATGAACAAGTCAACAATTTCTTCTCAACTCAAAAAACTATAGTGGTCATGCTCTATAAGTAAAATGTTGCAAACTGACCCCTTTGTTGCAGCAAAGAAAGGCATGCATTGATGTCCATTTCTCTTGGACCATTCCTTGACCAACTGACTCGGATTTTCCAACATGGATGAGACCCACAAAGCGAGCAGCTTCACGAGGAGTATTAAGTAGTCGATTTGTTCGAATTGGACGAACAAATGAACATACAGGACGTCTTTCACCATTCTCATCCTGAAATGACAAAATACATTTAAATAAAATTTGACCACAATTTATTTTGCATTCAAGTGAAAACCACTACACTTAATTATGAAGGCAAGATTGATATTTGAATATCATACACAATTTGTAGAAAAGAACAGAGAAAAATACTAAAGAAAGCAGACAGTAAGAATTAATGTATTTAAAATAGTAATATCAAATCCTTTAAACAATAGAAATTGTTTTTTTCCACCAGAAATAAACCTTTTATCTGTAAGAATTATGTAAAATGTAGGTTTGCAACCTATTGTCACTTCTGACAGTTAAAGTACAGCTAAAACTTGGATACAAAAAATTCATGTCATTCTGGATATGATCCAACTCTTTTGAATATCTCTAGAACCAGTTGGACTGCAATGATCTAACTTGGGACCCAATTGGAGGGTACCTCAATATAAATGACTGAACAGACACTTTCCTGTTGATTGACAAAGTCAGTAGTGAGATGTCAGAGTAAGTGTGTGTGTACTTAAATTAACTTCACAATGACATCTCATACAGGTATTTTTGGCAAGGACTTACATCACCCAAGTTTGCCTACTATCCATACAGTCATTAAAAGGGAAAAGATTTCAGACTATGGATGAGATTAAGAATTAAAACTGCTATAAAGTAGTTGATGAGGCATTCCAAGTTGTGAGTCACATATTGGAAATTTAACTACATAGGTACTGTAATAACAAACAAGTATGAGAAATTTGAAGGTGCACAGGAATAATGAAAGATGACTTTTAGAAACTGAACAAAGTAATAAAGGATTGGAAAATGCCTTTTGAAACAAAGAAAGGAATGCTAGACTGCTATGTAATATGTAAACTTCTATATGGCAGTGAATGCTGGATAATCTCTTCACAAATGGAGAAGAGACTTAAAACAACAGAGATGTAGCCCTACTGACAAATTTTTAAGAATAGGAATTACAAAGAAACAACTGCTAACACTCAGAAAGAGACAGTTGAAATTTTTGAAACAGTAAATCTTGAACTTAACACCCACTGGTCATATTGAAAACAAGAGGGAACTGCTTAAGTAGACTGGTCCACTCAAAGAAAATAGAGAAAAATTTTTTTGGAAATAATTTTTATAGATTAGCATTCCTTAGTCCCTTTTTTAGGTTGTGACATTTATCAGAATAAAAACTGTCTTTTTTATCAACTTAAAAAGGGGTTCTGTTTATAATATTCATATAGTGTAAAATCAATCCCCAACTTGTCTGTCAAAATAGATTAAAAGTTTTCTCTTCTAAATTTATCAATCTCAAACACAAAGATTAATTCACCATGGAAGTCTGGCCACCCTTTTTATTTACAAAGGTAGATAGACATAATGAAAGAAACATGCTTAAATAAAAACAAACTTCGATCAATCTCGAGGCTTGGGTAAAGAGGCTTTTTAATTTGTCTTTGCCATATCATTATTGAATTTGCATTTATTTTGGTTATTCTTGCAAGGCTTGGGTGTTATTTTGGTGACATATATATGAATATAAAGGTTATGAAATATATCAACTCCATTCCTTTGGGGTTGTACATGACCATTTGATAGGATTTGAGATAAAACTGTAGTAAAATCCTTTGTACAAATTTCTTTCTTAAAAAAAGAAAAAAAAAAACCTCCTCATTCTTTTTAATGTATCTTTCAAATTCAATCCTGCAAGATCCCATTTTTCAATCATATTAGCAAATAAAAATTTAATTTATATTTGTCTCCTGGTTATCTCACTAAAGAAAGTGGAGGAATGTACCTGAGCAAATATTTTCACCATCCTGTCTTTGAGATCATCCCTAATCTCCTGAAATTCTTGCCACCAATTACTGGCATAGACAAAAAACCTCCGTTCATTCTCCCTAAAGAAGCGAAGTTCCTGTTTGCATTGTTCGTCAATGATATCCCTGGTCAATAGTTTGGAAGGACGAGGATTGATGTACAGCTCTACTTCCAGTAAACCTACAGGCATCTTTCCTGCACAAAGAAAGAATATAATATCCAGGTTATAACAGGTATTATGATCCTAAATTTCATGGAGGTAAAAGAGAAGGAAAAATGCCACAAATCAGATGAAAAAAAAAATACAAATGGAAATAAGAAAAGTGACTAAAAAATAATAATAATAAATAATAATAATAATAAATAATAAATAATAATAATAAATAATAAATAATAAATAATAATAAATAATAATAATAATAAATAATAATAATAATAAATAATAATAAATAATAATAATAATAAAAAAATAATAAAAATAAAATAAAAAATAAAAAAAAAAATAAAAAATAAAAAAAAAAAATAATAAAAATAATAAAAAGAAAAATAAAATATAAAAATATAAGCAGAAACAATGGCTGAACAAGAATCACTCAATTACAGTTTAATGAAAACTAAAATATCTCTTGCTGTAATCAGATATTTAATTTAGAAGTATTTTGTACCTTTCCTCAAAATAGTAACATCAAGTATATATTAAAAAAAAAAAATTTATAGCTATTGTATACTATCACAACTAATAAATGAGAAGAGAAAATGAAATATAGGTTCAAGAAACATTTGTGGTTGATATGCATACCTGCACACTAGTGGAGATTTGGTCTTCTTGCTCACTTGATTGAGAGAATAATTAAACATTCTTTAAGAAATATTTTAGGTTTCTTTACTTACAATTCAAAGGAGAGAGGAACTTTAACATGACTTGTCTAAAAACACTAAATTCAACACTTCAATGAAATTCATATTAATAAAATTTAACTCACTCCATTTTTGTTAACTACTTGGTTGTCAAACTAAGTAAAGTTTAACTAAGAGATTATTATTTCTGTAAGTACACCAATTCAGTCTAACCTAAATCTGAATTGATTTGACAATAAATTGTGCCAAGCACAAAGTAGTTTTTGGTGGCACCAACATATGAAAAGTGGATCAGAAAATAAATTATAAAACACAAATATATCAAGAATTTTTGTACTCACCAGCACCCATCAATTCTATAGATGTGACTAGCCTATCCACAGTCAATACTTGACGCCATTCAAACAAATGAGTAGAAACCAAAAATTTTGTACCAAAAGCATCAGTCCTTGTTAGAACAAGATTTAGTTTGTCTGTGATGGACAACAAAGATGTTTCCAGCAATCGACCATCTGACCATTTAAAAAAAAAAAAAAGTGTAGTGGATAAAAAAATGTTTTCCTTGTAAAAAAAAAAAAAATTTCAAAATAATTCTTTTAGGGGATATAAAGTTTTATCTTTCAGTTATTAATAATAACTAAGTCACATAAAAGCAAAGATAATTTATACAAATAATCTGATCTAAAATATTTTCTCACATTCAGTTAAAGATAACAAAATAACACAACAATCCACTTTTGACCTCCTGCCATATGTATTGGTATCCCTGCTAGTTTAAAATTAAAAGGTCAACCTAAAAAACATCGATTTCTGGATCACTACAATTTTAAAACCTTTAAGAATAACAATGTTGGGTAGAAAAGGGACCTACCAACTCCAACTAAAATAGTTAAGATATGAAATCTATACAGCATATAGACATCATATTACTTCAGTATCAATGAATACATCTATAGCTGTAGTTTTACATTTTTCTTTTAGTGACCACAATAGAGAAACAATTGAAAAATAGGAAATGACTTTTTTAAATGTACAACAAAAATTTTAAGAAATTATTAAAGTGTATAAATCCTAAAAGTGAGCATATAGAAGGAATGATTCTAACCTTGGCTTTTTTTAAAGTCAAAAATAAATTCTTCATTAAATTCTGGGTCACATGTGCATGGTACCCTTCGACTTCTCACTCTTTGGCCCCTGAAGAGTATGTGCAAAGTGAAAGAAGACTTAACTGCTTGCTGCTGGAGGTGATCAAGGAATGCCCGTCCTCCAAGTACTTTAAAACAAAGTTTAGAGTTCCCAGTGACTAGAAAAAATAAAAAAAGTTTAGATAACTAGGTAGTTGTAAATCCACAATGAAAGACAAATGGTATTTATTTTATGCAAGTAATATTCTTCAACAATCTTGTCTATGCATTTAATTTAGTGATGAATATTAATAACAGATTAAACATTATAAAGTGAAAAGTTTAGATCAAAATTCACTTAATGACCATGTGTGTCAGATTATGGACTTATTGATCCACCCTCATAGGAGGAAATGATGCAAGACAATTTTCATGGAGATTATATGCTCCACACTTTTTATAAAATATAAATATTACTTCAATTTTCATAAAATTGGAAAAATTTTTAGATAAAAGTTATCTGGAAATGACAATGTTTGAAAAACATCAGTGTATTATTGTCATCATAAAATCAAAAGCAGAAATTATTCATTTTGTTGATAGAAAACTCCTAAACTTTAACAATTCATTTTAATTGAAGAATTATTTTCAAATTTTCTGTACTGACGATTTTTATTAAGATTTCTTCATGATAAATTTTTAATTGACTGATCATATTTCACATTTTGCTTGTTTTTACAAAATTGAAATCGTTATTCTATATAAACATAAAAATGAAAATATTAACATTTCTCTTTAAAACAAAAAATCATGTAAAATTAAGTTTTTGTAAATAAAAACTCAAGAGTAAATTTTAAACTATTACATATATAAATATAGTTGATAACATTGAAATATTTCTTTTCAGCAACAAATGAAGAGACCAGTCACTAACATTTTTCCTTGTGTAGAGTTTCATAAATTTATACTTAACTTTAACAAATGCTTAGAAATTTATATTTAATAAAGAAATAAAAAGAGAATATTAAAAGTTTAAGATATGATCTAGTTGTTTTCAATAGATTGAAAGTACTTAATATTTTATTATGATAATATCAATCAATAACTCCAACTGCCTTAATAGATCTTGAGCTATAATGGAAAGAAGCCCTTCCCAAGTTCAGAAATACATAAGTTTATGGCATTTCAATAATGAAAATATCTAATTTGCCTAATATCTAATTACATCCAACAATAGTCCCTTCATCTACTGAGGCTATCATTTAAAATCTTAGTAGTAATCACACACCAACATATGGAATTTAATATATATATATATATATCACTGTAGTCATTTACAAAAATTAATTAAAAATTCACCTGGAAATTCCAAGCTGTCCATCATATTGGTCAGTTTTCGTTTTTTCTCACAGTCACTTGAGATAACAACCTTGTCTCCCTTCATGCAGTTATTGTTCTTAGCTTGTTCAATATCATTGATGATGCTGTCAATTGCACCAGATTCCTTCAGGTGCTTCACTAAGTCACTACGGCTCAGAGCAGACTTTGTGTCCCTTACACCCTGATCCACCTTCAGATCTGGCAGCAGGGATTTCAGCTTATTCTGAACAGTTTCCTAGAAATTTAAAGTTAAAATAAAAAATAAAATATGGATCTTTAAAATGATTAAATATTAGAAAAGAAATAAAATAGGAGCAGTCAGTATTTCTATACATTGTTACATTAATGTACATTTATGAATGATCACAGTTTATGTCTTTGAATTATAGTGAGAAAGACTTGTACATCATCGCTTTCACACTTGTCAATTTATTTCTTAACATGTTACACTCTGCTGCAACAAGATCTTTCTGACTCACATTACATCATGTCAGTTGGATCTGAATGCTAAGAAAGTAAAACACAAAATAAAAAAGTTGTTTTCTGTGCAAGGGCTCCAAGCATCATATCTGGTCCACAAAACAAGTCTCCCCACAATAAAATAACCAATCACTAACATTTCAACACACCACACCACACACTCACCCCCCACACCAAAAAACAAGGACCATCAGATTTACTTAAAAGAAAGTCCCTCATAAAAAAACCAACTAAGTAGCAGGCCGGAAAGGCTGTATGCTAATACACAAACATGCTGTCGCCATCACCGCTATGATCACTTCTCTTGTCAAAAGATTCACTAATCTCACTTGAGAATTCACATGCAGAATGTGGCCAAACAGGCTAACTTTGACACCACCTGGTTCTTGGTGCCACTACCATGATTTCTAACACCTCAACATCTTAATTATCCAGCTCAACTCATTACCACTACTATGACCCAGTCTTGTTAATATCACAATCAACTAGAATCCAAAGGAGATATTCCACTCAATCAACCTTCATTATCCACTCCAGTTTTATCTCGTAGTCACCACCATGACCCCATTTTTTGATCTCTGATTTGACTAGAATCAGGGAGAGAACATTGATCAAGAAGGTCCGATCCTGAGGGACCTGCACAATCGTTCTCTCTCTCTACACCTAATCCCTAGCCGCCATAACCTCAGCAACCAAAGATTTTACCATGAATCAACCCACCATCATGACCTCAATCAATCAACCCACTACCAGACAGTTTGGCTTCAAAATCTCAGCATCACACACCTCACAGGTATCAATTAAAACTATAGGTGTACACCAAATCCCACTAATGATGAATCCACTCCAGACCTGTCCTCTGAGCCAAACTCTGATCTCAACTGACCAACACAAGAAATCAGTCAATTCCCAGCCCTTCTGGGAACAACTTTACACACAATCGCTTTCCTTATCAACAACAACTAAAGAACCACACATGGATAATTTTTGCCAAATTTCAAACAACAATGTATATATTCCAAATTTTGATGAATACACATTGTTGAAAATTTAATCCTTGTTTGTTTCTTTTCTTTGCAACTGAATGTTCATTATAACACATAGCAATGATATGATCACAAAATGGCTGACTACGTTGAAGGAAAATTCAAATTTTCCCAAAATTACAAATATTACACAAAATACACTCACCAACATCTGAAATCAAATCACCATTTTCACATCCCAAGTTATAACTTCAATTGGCCAAACCCCACCATCCATCCAATTTATACAATATAGTATTAATATAATTTAAATAATATATATATATATATATATAACAGTAATAATCACATACAGTTGTTGCTCACCCCTTTCAGCATGTTGTCCTCTATCAAATCCACATATCTCTACTAAAGGGGCTTTAGTAGAGACATCTACTAGGTATCTTTTGTACAGATAGAGCTAAGAAATGGACACAAGGCAAAAAAAGCTAGAGTCTCACTTCTGAATACAGAAAATTCCTAAAGTTTTGGAAGATCATTGACATTTCAATTAATAAATCTTAAATGGCGTTAAATTGACAGTATTTTAAAGCATGGTAAATTAGGCTTCCCCATTTTTTTGTATTTTTTTTAAATCAATTTGGTACACAACCATGATGTAATGATATAGAACGCTATGCTCTAACTTGATTAAGCATATCTGTATCTTCACAAAGAACAAGCCAAAATGGCAATATATATTTCTGTTATATGGTTTAAAGGTATACATTTAGGTTTGGGAAAAAAAATTATTTGTATTTTATAGACATTGTTTTAACCAATTGAGTTACAGAAGCCTAATAATATATTGTTTGCCTAATAAAAAAAGAATTACAACTAAGAATTATAACACTAGTTATTGCAAGTTAAATAAGCAGGGCATCTTATCCACTGATAAAAAGTGAGGAAGAACTCAAGACTGCCTGCCAGAACATCTGAAACAGACAACAGATAGCAAGAAGCCACTGTAATGATATTCAGCAATTGCTCATGAACATTTACTATGAACACCACTGCACTCAATATTTAAGTTAATGACAATCAAGTTACCAAGTGCAACATTTCCAGAGATCCAAAACAAGTAATGCTCATAATTTATACAACAAGCCTGCAGAAAGGACAGTCATGCAGCTTAAATGTTCAATATTTAATGATCCAATAACTACCAAAATTATGCCAAGAATTTGAGGCTTAAGTCATCTTAAGAGGTACAATGTTGGAAGATGCAATCATATATAATTTTGAGTTCTGTGCACAGTAGAAACTATCACCAACATCCTATTAAAGCAAATAAAAAAAAATAAAAATCTGAAAATTACATAGATGCATTCTACATTTTTTATGTTATAGATATAAATGCTATGTACAACTGCAGAGTTATGTCCAAGGTAATATTGTCACAGTCCATTACTTGGTCTGCCACAAGCTCAGCTTTCAAGTGAAAATGATTAAATTTTTCAGTCCCTCTAAAAATCAATAAAATTTGGACAAACTTTAATCAGTGTACAATCCAAGCTAGCAAACTTCAGCTGATTAAAAAAAAAAAAAAAAGCCATATCCAGAGACTCACAGGAAACCCTTCAAGAAAGACAAACCAAAATCATTTTAATGACATGAATCAAAATATTAACCAATAAAAATAAAACAGTCGGTCAGAGATCCTCTATTTGCTAACATTCCTCATGACAGAGACTGCTAAACATGCTAGTATGGAGATCACCCTAAAGAAGTTTGCCATCAGTTTGAACCTTGTTTTATCTCCATTTGTCAGACAACAAGTCACCTTCTATCCTGTAATACCAGGTTAGACAAAGAAACAGACTGGTCAAAGCAAACAGAAACATAACCATATCTAGAACCACCACTTCAAAAAAGATACAAAATTAAAATTTTACAAAGACATCAGGTTCGATATAGAATGAAATTCTGAGTCATCTACTATAATCTCCAGGGTGTCTTTCATTATATCCATCAGCACTTCCTTTGCATAATCTTCATACTGGAAAAAAAAGAGAAGTTCAAGAACTAGAAACACTGAAGCCATGCTTTGCAACCTCATTGGGCAGGATATATGGCTTTTGAAATGTATCCTGGAAAAGTATTGTCTACTGTAGATCCTGTTACAAGCTATTAATAGGGTAACATGGTGCAAACAGTTTTCTAACCACAGAAGCAACTGAAATGCTTTTGCTGAGCAAACCTTACAGAGCAGCTGTTGTAAGATGACCTGCTTGAACCTTGTAGGTTTTATCAACAACTAGCAGACCTGTATCAGACATGGAATGTTTTCATAAACCTATACTGAAGCCAGAGCAAGAAGAGTCATTTTAGGAATGTATTAACTGCACTGTATAAAATTATTACATCATTATTCTAATATTTAATCCATAGCCCAATATTTTTTCCAAATTTTATATTGTGTAATTTTTTTTATATAATTGTGACAACCAAAGCATCAGTTTAGGTTAAAATATTTACATTTGTAAGTTTTCTTTCTGAATTTGATTAACTTTGATAGTGCATTGTGGCATTCTTCCATATCACCAGCAAAAGTTTCTAAGTCTTCAATTCTGCCTTGTTGCCAACAAACCCAAGTTAATAATAAGGTTTTGTCTTTGGGATCACTCATTCAGATGAAATTAAGTGTTAATATTGCTTTGTGACAAACAACAAAGTAGCAAACTTTCTACAAAAATGCTTTTATTTCCAGTATCATTTCTTTACTTTTGAGAACATTTAATACCATCGATTATACAAACACATATTTTTAGGAGATGGATTAAATCCAACATATTGTTAACATTTTAAACAAAATAAATTATAAATAATATCTAAATAAAATCAAAAGGATTGTGCTGTGTTAATCCTTCAGAAGGAAAAACTGCCTGTCTTGAGATCAACATTTTAAATCTTAGTCCAAATAAACTTTTGGCAACTGTTAAATCTATGAGGCAGGCCACCCTGCCTTATATTTTACAACAGATTAAGCATAAAAAGAAATTTTATATAGAGAGTAATACAAATACAAAGACATTATTATTTTCCTCCCAATAAAGATTTTTGTATTATTTTGTGCTCTCCATACAACCTGATTAAGTTCACTATTAAGAGAATTCATCTTTTGAGGATAGTTTAGTTCTCCTGAAACATATACCGAAAGCTTAATTTTTATTGAAAAGTTTCATATTTGCAATAATGATAATTCAATTTAAAAAAAAGTGCTAGTTTCTGCTTATATATTCCATTTATTTATGACTCATCTTCCTAAAACGTGGTTTAATCTTCACATGTGTTGTTAAAGTAAACTAAGTATTAGTGCCCCTGACTCTAAAAGGCTGATTTACTTAGTTATTTTACTTAAATAAATAAACCAGGATAGAAATAGAAACACTTACAAAAATTATACGTAGCTGTCGGCTAATAATCCATGAAACAGAATTGGTGATAATGTTCTTTAAATTTAATATTTATTTATTCATTCCTCACACATTGAAATACAACATTATTTATGCATTACTGCTGTTTCATAAAATAACATCAATACAGTACACCTCCAGACTGATGATAAAAGACTGTATTTTTGCTTTCTTTACAATAAAATTTAAAATAAATATGATGATTACGACAATTATTTTAATAAAACTAGTCTTTCTTTTATCATTTCTTTCTCTATTCACCTCTAACTATCAGCATGCAGCACACATGTGGGGAAATATACACAATCTGAACTCCAGTCTATTTATTTTTATATACAGACACACACAACTCGCTCGCTCAATATGTAAAAATATGGCCTTATGACAAACTGTTTGCGTAACCATCAAATCAAGGAAATATTTAAAATAAAACATTTAAAAAAAAAATTAAATTTTAGCTTTACTTTTTAACACTAGAATTTTTTTAAATTGCTCCCTCCCCCAATTTAAACTAACAGAAACTCGGTGTAAACTCCATACCAAAAAAAAATCAACATTTATAAAGAAAAAGGAGAGAAATAAAGAAACAGTGAGTTACATCATCTTCCTAAAAGATGAAAGCTTATTCTGGAAGTCTTATAGCATCAGGCACAAAGTATTTTTTTTTACATATTAGAAAAAGCAAACAAGCACAAGCTTAAAAAATAAAAGTAAAACTACTGCCAGTGGCATTTAAAATTTATTATAGAAACAACTGAGAATGCGAGTTGAGTTGACATTTTCGTTTAAAAATGTTTAACACTGTGTAGAGTAGTAAAACTTAATTAAAACTCGTTAGATAAGTCCCAAATATCGCCCCTAGAATTCCCTATGGAAAAAAAAAAATAAGCAAACCTAGTAGCGTCCAGCAACACATGTACTAACTAAAATTTACTTTAGTTTCATATTCTGAACATTCTTTTCCCCCATAATAATTCACTTTCTATGACCAACAAGTATTTGTAAAAAAAAAAAATAAAATAAAAAAAATCCTTTTGTTGATAAAAAAATTCTGCATAAAACGAAAAATAGTGTCTGAATTGCAATATAATTTCAACTTTATTAGAGCAGATAATAAGCATTTGCCATTTATTTACTTATTTATTCTACAAACATTGATTTTTAAAACTTTGTACCTGCCTAGTTCGGTTTTCCAAGGGAAATGTTTGCTCAAAATATGAGGCTAAGTAAAGATTAAGTTTAAGTCTTAGTTGATTTTTAATGTTAAAAAAACAAAACAAAATAGTTCAGATGAGACTAGGTAAAGCAAAAGAGAAGACTATTTGGAATGTGAAAAATATTTCGGAAGCTGAAATGGAGGATACCTCCGAGACTAGTTAGTGTCAATGAGCTGAATTTTTTTTTAAGATGATGATGATGAAGATTGAGTAGGATCGAACACCTACACAAAAACCTCATTTTTAAATTTTTTGACAACAAAGTAAAAGACCACGTTAAGAAAAAAAATTAACAAAAAAATAGTTCTTAGATTCTTCAGATTTAATTTGTAAATCAAATAAAAAACTATGGAAGTTTAACAATCAATTCTCCACACGCTGAAAGAGAAGTGACAACTTCGAATGGAAAATAATGAAAAGGCTTTTTGTTTTTTTTTTTTACTAAAAATAGGAAAGAAAATTATTTTGATCGGATAGAAATAAATTTCTAAAAGAAAACGTTTCGTAATTTTTTTTATTTTTTCGAGAACAAAACAAAAAAAAACGCCATGTTTTTCGGAAACAATTGTTAAATACCGTCTTAAAAATGTCATTAAAATACCGATTTCCTAACTAAAAATCTTCTTATGTATCAAACAATAAATACTAATTTTGTTAAAAAATAAGGTTTAAAAAGTATGTTATATTTTTATTTAAATTATATCTACAGCTGATATAATTGTTTGATAATTTTTAAAGCTTATTAAAATGTCAATATTTTCCTAACGACGGAAAAAAAAATGTTGAACTAAGCAATCAAATCTTGTACATGGAATACCTTCTCTTGTCAAAACCTACACATAATTTATCTCCCCCCCCACAGAATGTCACTTTTCTGTTTAAACTAAAAATGTACTTAAATCTTCCAATCGCTACGTCAAAACTCAAAACGAAAATGATGGTTTTACTTTTAAAATACCGATTTATTTTCAAGGAAACTAGTTTTTTTTAGCGCACTATCAATAACAAATTTAATTAAAAACTATGCGTTTTGCTTACATTTAAAAAGTGTTTTAAACTCAAACATACTCAAGTTAAAAAGTTGACATGAAATTTCAACTCAAGAATAGACTTAACAAAAAAACATGAAATAACCTAATCGGTTGAAAAAAGAACCAATTATTTTTAAGTTTGTAAATGTGATGAATAATTTTTTTTTTTTTTAGCATCTAAAAAACTGTTAACTTTTTATTTTTTATGAAATACATTAAAAATAGTTATCACTTTTGAGAAAGATAGTTTAATTAAACTAAAAATCAAACAGGTATAAAATAAAACAAAGACAAAGTAAAGTGTATTTTTAAAAACATTAAATCAAAAACAAGAAAAGTGACAATTTTTCCCGGGGAAATGGTAAAAAAAAAAATAGTAACATGTGCAGACATGTTCCCGAAAATTATTAAAGAATACAAGAAACAACAACTGTTGTAAATCGTAATCTAGACATTCTTACCCGAGACAAATGCTGTTGAATAATCTGCTTTATTTCATTGACTTGCTCTGGGGGTACCGCCATGATCTACGGCAAAAATCACACCGGCTTTTGTCAACAATTGGTCAAGAAAGCATCACGTTGTACGTATTTCGTTTACACTTTCGAAAATGGCCGCGTTATGCACTGCGCATGTGCAGAAATCAATAACTCCTCCCCTTCTCTCTTTTTTTTTCTTCTACTTAAAATGTCAAATATTTTTTTTGTCTATGTGTCCATTTGTGTATGAAAGAAAAATCAGTTTTTCTTATTGATTATCTTACAAGAGAATTTTACAGCTATCTTCTTAAGATAACTATTTTAAGTTACTTTCATTGTTTTATGTTACAATTTAATAAACATTGAAAAGTAGGTGGTTATTTATTTAAATTTAATCCAAGGAGAGGTTCCAAGTGGTGTAACTGTTCCCAAGATGAAAATAGACTCATGGATATGAACCGAATAGTAATGATTTTATGATAATAGGCATGAATCTACTTCTCCCTGTATTCTGTCCCACTTTGTATGATATCTTAACAGATTATCTCGTCTTTAGCATGTCACAATGGTTGAACAGAATATGGTGAATAGTATCACTGAATGAGTAGTGTGAGAATTAAACATACTCTCCATAACTACCTTTAGTTTAGTTGTGCTTAGCTAGTAGAAGCATAAGGTTATTACTCCCAATATCAACCTTGAAAGAAGTCCAGTAATAACTTTTAAACTGAGTATATGCATATAAATACAAATGAAGTCAAGTTTTGGACCACTATGTACAATGAAGAGGACAATACTACGATGGGAACCTAAATTGTTTCTCACAAAATCAATTAAGGAGAAACTGAGGACAGAACGACCCACAACATGTGCAGAAGTGGAGGCACACAAGAAGTCACTGCGAAAACAGTCTTCCCAGCTAGGAATTTCCAAAACCACAATGTTAACACACATAACAAAAGGTCTTGATTTGCAATTGTTTAAATCATCATTTTTCAACAAACTAAGCAATAACAATATGGACAAAAGATGTGTGACATGTGGATGGTTACTTGATTTATTTCCAACAATCCTAAAATATGGAAAGGTGTTTTTCTCTGATGAATGTGCAATTTACCAGAGTGGACAGGCTAGGAATATTTATTTCTAGAGCAAAGAAAATCCACACTATTATGGAGAATTGGAGCAAAACCCTCTACATGTAATGATCTGGGCTGTCATACTGAGTAAGCACTTGATAGGACCCTATTTCTTCAAGGTCTGTTAACCAGCACTTTTACCTAGCCATGTGAAGGGAGTGGTTTGTTCCACTGCGCCAGAAGTTGAATGTTGATTTGAATGATTGTTGGTTTCAACAAGATGGTTCCCCATCCCACTATGCTATCACTGTGAAGGAATACCCAAATGAAGTTTTTCAGGATAGATGGATGGGACGAGGATTGCAACAACTTCCAGCACCCATCAATTGACCTCCTGTTTTGCAACAACGCTTTGTGAGGTATTATCAAGGAGAGAGTTTCACATGAACGATACCAGAATGCCTATCAGTTGAAGGATGCCATTTGGAGAGCCTTTACAACAATCAACAATGCACAGCTTCATAAAATATCACGCAGGACATGGCACCACATCATGTGCCATGAAAATGATGGTGTTCATACAGACCTTCTCAACATGTGACAGCATCAATGACAGTGAATAAACTGAATCCAAGTACATGTACTTTGTATTACTGTATTACTTGTTCTATTGTTTTCATTATTTTTTGGTAGGTGGGTGACAAAACTTTTGGACCACCCTGTATTATAAATCCTTTTTTTTCTATAGTCAAGCAGTTAGATTTAACAAGAAAATGTGTGAAAGGTTTTACTTTTTTTTCAAAGCACTAAACATTAAGGTGTTGGTTTTGATGTAATAATGTCTTTGCCTTACTAAGAATTATTAATTTGATTCTAACCACAGAATGGATATTATTATTTTACACTGATTTCAATTACAAAAAAGGGCCCAGATAAATTATATTTTATAACTTTTACCAAAGAGTGAAAGCTGAAAACCAAGTCTACAAGTTTAATAAACTTTGAGAGGAATAATTAAATTTCTTAAATGTGGGTAAAATTCATCACATATATATTGTATATTTTGTATTATACTTTTCTTTTTAGATTTGCCTTAATTTTTCTTTTCCCATTTTTAGTCCCTTAATGATATTGGAATAGTTATGGCTTCCTTTAAATTTCTATAAATTATAGTTTAGCCCCTGAGATCAAAATATGATTTTTAATAAAATCATCTTCAGTAATTTGTTACATGCTTTCTGATATAAAACCACGTTCTGAAATTTGCCAAGAAATCTTAAGTTAAATGTTTTCAGACAACAGATGTCAGAATATCATTGATTCCATGTAGCATACATTGCTTTTATGTTTTATACATTTTCACAGGATTTGGAGATACCAAAAAATTAAGTACTAGTATTTAAAAGAGAAAACAAACTGGAAAAAACTGAAAAGTATTGGAGACTTGTCCAAATTATAAGGTATATTTTGGTTTAAACTCAAAGTAATATTATTATTTGAAAAAAATTGTTATACTTTCACCATTCGTAATAGTTACACTCTCACTAGGCAGACACTTTGGGTAGAGAATAAATAAGTGTAATTTTCTTTAATTGTCTATTTTGTAGGTAATTAGTAAGAAAAGCAAGCTAAATGTCAATAAAGGTGTGTTGAATTCAACTATGGGGAAAAGGAAGAGGATAGTTACATTTGTAAATCAGTGTGCGTAGATGACAAACAATAGTTAAAGACTTAGGGCTGAAATAGAAGTCTGGCCTGTTCATCTACTGTTAGTGGTCTCTGATTTTCTATTCTATCCATTTACAACATGGGTCACATCAACACCAGATTTCTCCATCTTTATCAAAATTACCAAACTAATCAGCAGCAACAGGCCACTCAGACCAGAGGTGCATATGACATAACCCTGACACAAAATGAAAAAGCACAAATAAGTCGGTTGCATAAAATAATCTCACAAGGAAAGAGTATCTTTAGTTTTCAGCAATTCAAAGTAAGTGTAATTCTTTATTTTGTTCATATTTTATTTCATTGCTTTTTTGTTTTTTTACTATCTTCCTTCTCAGCTTTATTTTTTCATTTTTCCTTTTCTTTCTTCTTTGTCTTTCTTTTTCTCTTTCACTGATTTTTCCTTCTCTCGTTTTTCTTTCTTTCTCATTCTTTGTTTTCTTTTGCTTTTACTCAGGTTCCTTTTCTTTCTTTTTTCTTTTTTCTTCTCTTTATTTTTCTTTAATCTTATTTTACTCTTTTTCTTCTTTCTTTTTGCTTTCATTCTCTTTTTCCTTTGTTTCTCCTTGTTTCTTTCTGTTATTCATTTTCATCTGTAGATTTTTCTTTTCATAGTTTTTTTATTCTTTTTCTCTAATTTTTTAATCAATATTCTTCATTTTTCTTTTTTGTTTATCTTCTTTATTCATTTGCTTTTATACTTTGAAGTCATTTATTCTTTCTTTCTTACTATTTGCTTGTATTTTTTATTTTTTAACCTCCATTTTTTAAATTGTTTCATTTTTCCAATTCATTTAAGAGTCTTATTTTACTATTGATTTTTCCTTTGCTTTCTTTTTTCTTCCGTGTATCTGCTTTTCATTTACTTTTTCTTTTTTCCATTACTGTCTTCTAGTTTTTCTTCTTTAATGCTTACTCTTTTCTTTTGTTCTCTTTCCCCTTTTAGACATACATGCATAGAAATATTTTTTCTGAATATTTTTAGAAAAAATAGACAAATGTTGCTACCTGAAAGACAATATTAGTCTATATAGTAATAGCAATCTTTTTAAAACCTTGTCAAACATTAGGAAAATCACTAATTTTCTTCTTTGAACTATTTACATGAAATTGATTTTCTGTTTTCAGTTATTCTTTTTAAAGAAATTTATTTACTGCCTAATTAAAACTAAAAAAGAAAGACTGCCAACCATAGTCAGGATCACAGTTACTGTGAACTCCATGATCTTTTCCTTAGCTGTATAGTATGTACTTCACAAGGGCTATGTACAGTTTTGAATTCAGAGTTGTCCTTTGCCTAGACTAGCTTCCAAACAACTTTGAGAAAAACAGTCTGTTCTGCTATTTATCCCATAAATGAGGGAGAAAAGTTAAGTTCATACCTTTTCCAAGGGTATTTGGGCACAAGTAAATGTAATAAACTCAACTGGAATTTGAACTCAGTTCTCCAGTTTCTCATTGCTATCCATTACACCACCCACACATCACATCCAAACTAAGAACTCTCTTTAAAATACTCCTTCTCCTCTTTAAGTACCGTGTCCATTCAAGAGATAGGCAATTGCAGTTCTCCACAGTTTCCTTCTCTTTAACATCAGTAAATTATGCATTGCTATGATATATATATATATATATATATATATATATATATATATGATTATTTTTTAAAAATGTGATTCCATCACAACACAGAAATTACTATGTTTCAAACCTGGTCAGCAGTATTTAAATTTAATTCCAATATTAAACCTTAACCACTGGGTGGCAGTTTCATCCTCAATCATTGTTATGAAATATCTATGGTATGGAATGTTTTACTCATTTATAGTTTTGAATGGAGGTGTGGTCTAGGGTTTGTTTTTTCTTTATTGAGGGGTCACTGCTTTGATGGAAGTAGGAATGTTTGTGGTATGTCAAGTTTTTGGAGTCATGTAAGGTTGGGTTAGGGTTTTTTGTCTGGCTACAATGGCAAATCTTATCAGACTCCCTGCTAAAACTCTAACTGATTGATGTAGTAGTTCTGTTTTTCTTTTTTATTATTGTATGCTTAACATTTTTAAACCTATTGTTTTAACTGAACTTGTTTATAGATTTTGAAATTTAAAATTTTTTTTTAATGCTAATTATTTAAGGTGAATATTTGTTGGTGGCGGTAAAAAACCATTAATTCATGTCTTTGATTTAATAAATTTTCATTTTTTAGAAACTTAATAATGCATAGTTTTTCATGTAGGCATA